AATGTGGTAGGCACAATTTGTACAGGATGGTAAACAGTGAATGTGGTAGACGCCATTTGTACAGAATGGTAAACAGTAAATGTGGTAGGCGCCATTTGTACAGAATGGTATACAGTGAATGTGGTAGGCACCATTTGTACAGGATGGTAAACAGTGAATGTGGTAGGCGCCATTTGTACAGAATGGTACAACAGTGAATGTGGTAGGCACAATTTCTACTGAATGGTAGACCGTGAATTTGGTACGCACAATTTGTAGAGGATGGTAAACAGTGAATGTGGTAGACGCCATTTGTACAGAATGGTAAACAGTGAATGTGGTAGGCACAATTTGTACAGAATGGTAAACAGTGAATGTGGTAGGCGCCACTTGTACAGAATGGTAAACGGTGATTGTGGTAGGCACAATTTGTACAGGATGTTAAACTGTGATTGTGGTAGGCGCCATTTGTACAGAATGGTAAACGTTGATTGTGGTATGCATAATTTGTACAGAATGGTAAACAGTGAATGTGGTAGGCGCCATTTGTACAGAATGGTAAACGGCGATTGTGGTAGTTGACATTTGTACAGAATGGTAAACAGTAGATGTGATAGGCGCCATTTGTACCGAATGGTTCCCATTGACTATTGCATAAATAAAGCTTATGTCGCACAAGAAAGATGTGAGAAAGAAGTGACCCCAGAGATATACACACAAATAAAGTATCGCAACATTTATGATATTTACCCCCATGGTTACAGGGTACTACTGTTTGTTGTAGGAGGTTTCTGGGAAGTTTGACCCACTGTCGGGAGAGTCTCGGTATTTAAATATAGGGACCCCCAAATTACTTTCAACAATGTCTAGATTGTCTACCGGTTGGATCATTCTCATGAGGTGAAACTAGTCACGTAGTCAGGCAGCAATGTATCTTGCATTTTCAAATAACAAACGTGATCTAAAGAGCTCTACTGATAAACAAACGTCAGGTTTTAAGTTTCCCATCTCAACCCTATCGGGATTGTCGGTGGTCACAACATCGACTGTCACGCTTCACTCTATATAGGTAAGCACGTTGTAATGTGTCCTCAATTCCTTCATTATTATCATACAACAATTGCTCGAAACTAATATTTCTGACGGGTTGGGCATTTCAAGTTATTGTCAAGGACAGGTCTTTATGGCTGATCAACGTCTTTATTGTACAATAGCGACGTTTCGGTATAGATACATATACCTTTTTTCAAGTTTTTAAGTTATTTCGACTCTTTCCTACTTATTTTACAGAGTATATGTGAATACATTGCTATGCTGACATATTGGAACGGTTGTTTTCAAAATAATGGTGGCATGTTTGCCATTGTCAACGTCACTTAGTAAATGTATATCTACAGATGGCTAATGTTTGGTAGTGTGAACAATATAAGTATATTGGGTTCTTTCAATTTTATGTTCAATGACTAAATGGAAACTGTTTTGTTTCGTTCTTTGTATACAATTTGTATCGGTTTATAAGATACACTGCACTGCACAGAAACTGTGATAGGAATCAACAGAATAGCAATTGAATCTAATTAGTGTTCATGCATACATGAATTACTGATTCAACGTACACACTGATCTCGCAGGGCTAACTGTATGCTGGATTAACTCCAGCTATGCTATGTAATCACCGGCGACCATTTGTTGTTCGAAATCTTATTACAGGGATTAAATACACAAAAGACTTTAATGGCTGTGACAAGTTACGCCGTTATGAACTTCTTCAGCTTCAGTAATCTTTAGTATTTTACTCTTATTCTGCCATTTAATTGTCACTTCAGTCCACGATCACCAATCAGGTACAATGAATAATTAACGATTTAAGTATATCTGCCTTGAGGCTGCACTTGACTTACTGTGGGTACATCTCTCTACATTAACTCTATACATCACGCATGTCGTTGTCCTTCATAAATCCTGGACTTTTGCATTGCTTCATTATTGATTGACGACACTGTTTGGAGTGAATTATTTGCAAAAGACAACATATTGGCATCACGCATCAGAGAATGTGCACGACCTAAAATAAATAAAATAAAAAGACGACAAGAAGGTTTTTGTGGTAGTTAAGGCCACATGCATGGCGCATGTAAAGAAGTACATGAAAGAGGTTATGAATACAGATTAACAAAAATAATTCTTACAAGAAAACCTCGGGTATTAAGGGACCCTCAACTATCTAAATTTCAGTTCCTTGAGCTGAAAAGTGGATGAATATAGGCTTCTAGAGTGGAAAGGGATGGGAATAAAATGAATGGAATTAGAATAAAATGGCGGTGGCTTTTTTTAAACATACACATGGACCAAAATATCACAAGACCTCATAGTTTTCATAGTATCGATATGTTGCCATCAGCCATAGCAAAGTAACTGATCCACACCTCAAATTAATCTAATATCTGGATAAACTAACCCTTGAGGAATAAATAAATGGCAAATCTAAACGCAAAAGAACGAAAAACAGAGAAACAAACATGACTAATTTTGTTGTGCTGATAACTATGGTCGTATGGCGTTAACAAGTGCGGTCAGTTTAATGATAGGGACATGAAATCCTCCGGCAGTCACAGGTGTATCAATAACCCATGTCTAGTGTAACCTCCGCCAACTGCTGTAACTTCCCTGATTGCCTGTGTGAGGCGTCGAATTTGATGTTGAGGTATTGCGTTCGATACTTGATGGGGGCCTTCTTCCATCATGATTTTGCGCTGAACGAATTTCTGGCGTATTCTGCGACCCATACATTTTGTTGGATTGGGATCGGACTCCTGGTTAGCCGTAAGAAATCACCAACGGTAGTTGCTCGATGTGGCGAGCATTGTTGGCCATGAAGACTGGCCATCATGTTCAGAATGTAGTCCTCGAAATGTGGTACAATAACAGGATGTCAGTGATGTACCAACGTCCAACTTGCTCCAAGATAAGCAGTGTTTCTGATGCAACAAACACGACATCGGTCATCAGTCATGAAGAAAAGAAATCGACTTGCGTCCGACCATTAGACCTTTCCCTATGACGTCATATTCCAGTGACGTCGAGCTTGACGCCAAATCAATCGTGCTGCTTTAGGATCTGGGATAAAAACAGACGTCTGATAGGTCTGTGTTTAACACGCCACTTGACATCAACGGATGAAATTGTGAAGGGCTGTAACCTCCCCAGGAGTTGTCCCTCGTGGTTGACCTAAACGTTGGCGGCCCATAATGTCATAAGTTTGCTTTTGTGTTCTAGTCCATCCGCTGATAGTCGATGGATGACAACCGACACATCTTATCTTCAGTGACATGCCAGTATTCTGCATACCAATAACTTGCCATTTTGAGTCAGATGAGGAGGCCAGATATTTGTTTAAAAACTACGAAATCAAATGATGTCCCAAGTTATCGAGCTGTAAGAACAGTTTACTGAAACTTGATAATTGCTTTAACGACGGGTACACACGTATTGAACGTGATGCTCGCCTTTGATCTTAGCACGTACATATCTAAAAGCATTGTATGCTGCACAAATTAAATATTATCAAACAAACATAAATATGATATGAATATGAATAGCTATATGAGGGGGTTAAAATCATAGGCGTTGGGATACTATTTTTTCTATGTTTATACTTGTTTAGGTTAGATGTAACCAGGGGCGGATATAGCTTTTTGTGAAAGGGGGTTGGGGAGGGTGGGGGGCACAATCTTGAGAAAAGGAAGGGTGCACACTTCATTTTCACCCGAGTTTCAATGGTCATGGGTGCGTGTGTGTGTGTGTGTGTGCGTGTGTGCGCGCGTGCCGGCAAAGTTTTTGAATCATATACCTGTGCTGTGCCGTCGCCATCCTTTCTCGCCCACCTGGCTGTTCCTCTCTTTCCACTCCTCCCTCGTAACAAATAGCGACTTGTGTCACAATTTTAATGATAGTTTGTTAAACAAACGTTTTCATTTTTCGGACATAAAGCCTGAAATTACTCTTAGGTTGGTCTGATGTTTTGATTATGGTCAGCGTTTCATTGAGTATTATACATGTATGTTTATTAGTTTTCGAGTTAGATGGGAATTCATCGGTCCGCTTTTGAGCCAAACGGACTATAGCAGATCTAACAGTTACATTGTTTGTTTGATGTTTCTGATAACAGATCTAACAGCACCTCAACAAGATTCCATCTTTATTATGGCAACCTGTAAATACGCGAGTTTAGTCCACTGGTATCACAAACAAGCATCCATTCACGCTGACGTGCAATACATGCAAAATGTCACCCACCCTGCCCAGCCTCGCACGACAAGTACGGACTACTCGGGGCCTTTCCTTACGCGGAATCCCCACGTACACCGTTGAAAACAGTTATCCAAGTTCCAAGTTAGGAAAACTGATTATTGAGTGTAGGGCTGCACTATGTCATACTAAAATCAACAACGATGAACATGAGTATTGTGTTGATTAAATAAGTCATTAAAGAATTATTTCTGTATGATTGAATGTTGACAAATTATTCATCTCGATTTACAGATATATATAAATATTTGATTGTTATTCGACACGTTTTACAGTAGAAACATCAAAGTACTTATAGCTTTATTGCTCATGTCCAAAATCAAAGAAAAGATATGATAAAAAGACATAGAAAAAAAAAAAAAAACCATGCGTCGGCCGGGAATCGAACCCGGATCGACTGCTTGGAAGGCAACCATGCTAACCTTTACACCACCGACGCGATATTGAAAAGGGGACGAACAGAAAAATATAAAGAAATCAACATCTATATCCACTGCGGATACAATATTTCAAACCTAAAAATGTTTGCAACGCTTTTAGATATATGTAAATATAAATATTTTTTAATCAGATACAACTCTATCACCTGATAGAAAGATAGGCTAACATTTTCGGAGGAAACTACAGAATGTCAACATCCGCCGAAGAGCCAACATGGCGTCCAATTCCAACACAAACACGGGTTGGTAAACAAAAACTATCCTTTGTGTCGCCTTTAAATATTCCTTTACACGCGGATGTCATTATATGGTCATCGAAACAAACACCCGTGTAGCAAATATATGTATTCAATATGGAATGTATGGGTTCACTTCTACAAGTCTAAAACAACAAGGATTTCCTCGCGGGAAACCATAACAGTAATAGATCAATAAAGAAGAAATTACACTGAAGAGTATGTGTTTATTATGTTATATTCTGGTTACAGTGGTTGAAAACGAATGTCACAATCGATAATTTTAAACTACTTTGATGAAAGGCTTGAGGTGTTTGAAGTGTTTATTTTGAAGCCGTCATGACCGGAAGTTTAGAATGAGGGTAGTAATCTCGCGGTCACGCGCGAGTTGTCATTCGAATGCTTGTCAGGACACGTGCGTAGTTCGTGTATAAGTTCAGAAGCAGTTAGAAATCATTCATTCAATCTTCACTCGCTGTAGCAAGCATCACTCTTCAGTTTTGTAGTTGCTCCAAAGAACTGAAAATGACCACCATCATTAGTTTCATGCGTGAGTAAGACAAACAAGAATGGTGTTCAAGTTGTTTGCTGGTTTTGGAATGTTCACAGTGTTTGTTTTGGTTGTCAATGACATTTAATTCAATTGTCAAATGCAAAACAATATATTTATGTTCTGGGTTTCATTAATTAGAACAATAATCAGGTACTTTTTGAGATGTACATTTTTGTACATATTTAAATATGTGCATCTTGCTGTTTTACAACTATCCATAATGTCAACTGATCTGATGGATCTTCGCATACTCACACAGATTCGGCAATAAATATGTTTGGTCCAATGGTGAACTTTCTTTATAGCTTCAAATATTGTTTATATTGGATAATGCTTGAATCAATTTACGAATCATTTATTCTTCCAAAGTTTAAATATTGTACTCATATTTTGGATAACAGCACTTTTGAGCAAAGTAAAATGCTTGAGAAACTGCACATAGATGCAGTGATGACCATCTGTGGTGCAGTACAGGATACAAATCACAGTAAGTTATACAGTGAAACCACATGGAAATCCCTGTCTGAGAGAAGAAAAATCTTCACATTAACAATGTTTTTTTAATTTTGCACAACTTAACACCAATTTACTCAGAGAACTTATTCCTGAACGAGTTTTAGAAGCATCTTCCTATATTCTAAAAAAAACTGAGATAATTTGCAACTTATCAACTGCAATTTAAGACAACATTTTATGCTGAGAGCTTTCTTCCTGATACTTTAAGACAGAGAATTTATTACTGGATGAAACTAGAAATTGCAGGACATTTTTAGACTTTTATAGACTACTAACTGTGAACAAAGCTTTTACTTTGATGTTAATTACGGAACACGTTTCTTCAATGTCACACATGCTCACAGACTGAGTTGTTGTGATTAAGTTGGTACAAGTTACTAGACAACACTACTGACTCAATTGAACTGTCTCTGTGGTCATCAGTGTGAAGAATCTAAACACTACCTTTTTGTTTGCCCTTTATATAACATGAGGCAGAACATGTATAATTCCCTGAATTGATATGAGGTGAACTCAATTTCGTAAGGCAGCCCACATACAACTAAAGAAACTAACACTCACATTCTTGAATCTGTGAATGATTTTCTGATAGACTTAAACTACTGTACTCTTGATTTATGACTATTCCTTTCCAGCTCACACTGACTATATCAGTACTCTGACACTGTGTAGCATGTCAACCATGTTATCCAGAGGTATTGAAATAAGCCCACAAAGTTTGTCTGCCACTTTCATGGAATGAATGTTGAACCCATCAGTTGGTTGTTGTGAACATTATTTCTTTTGACAAATCATGTATCATGCATTACTTTCCATATATATTTGTTGGAGAGGGAGGAGCTGTGTAGAAATCTTTATTCTCCAACCATTCCGAGTTAAAGAAAAATTGTCACTTCACTTTTTACACTGTATCATTTCTGTGTGTTGGTGGCACTGCCTCTGCTATCTCTGTGATCTAGTGAATGAGTGTGGTCCTTCCAAGACCACATTCTTAAGTCATCGGACATGAGTTGAAGACCTCAAGCAAATTCGTGTTCAATTTCACATTTTAAGTTATCATTTCTTTACTCAGACAGTTCAAGAAACCGCTAAAGACATAGCTGACATGTAAATATTTGTGAGGGCTTAAGAACACTAAGCACATCATTTAGTGCCATAATATTACTGCGACTGGTATGAGTATGAGTGAGGCAAACTTCTCGGGGTTTTTTCATTCACCACACAGTGATTTTCCTGTGCCACAACACACTGTATTCAACAGGTGATCGACGATACCATGATTGAAAATGTCATGCAGCAAATGTTTTGTGATATTTTGAAACAATGTTGATATGTTATCTCTGCAGAAAGTACTTGATTAAATGTATCACATTCATTAACAGATGACCATGAACCAATGGATTTCCAAGGCATAGATCTCATGGAAGAAGATCTTGCAACATCAAGGTCAGTCTCAACCCCTGGGCCCCGATCCACAAAGCGTTCGTAACGTTAAGATCTGCCGTAACTCTATAGTTAACATTAGCTTACAAATGTCGTAGCGCTACAAATGCTTTTTGGACCGGGACCCTGATCAACTCTCTTAGAGTCCATGCAAGATGTCAATTTACAATGTTCTTAACAAAATAACATTTCTATTTGAGAGGTAGACCAAAAAGTAAGTGTACAGTGTTACAGCTTCTGTAACCCTTTGGACATGATGTATGGTGTAGATATTCTGCTATGTTATTTAATGGTAAAAATTTATGACTGTTTTGCTGTTTTGGCCCACACAACTCAATTTTAATTCATAAAAAAATGAAAGATTAAAACATACAACTACAATATGTCAATGGTGGTGATAAGAACTAATGCTTGAATGGTGATAGTGTTATGGTAGTGTCTGCATGCATCTGTCCTTGTAATACAAGATCAGTTACAGTCAAGTGGGCTACAGAACAGCTGGTAATTTACTCTTTTCTTTGAGAAAGAAAATGACTTTTCACTTTGAACCATCATGTAGAACACAAGTCATCAGTTTCACAAGTTGTTGATGACGTTGAGGATTGCCACTTGTATGATTGTTCTGACAACTGAAGATGCTGGGCACAAGTATATATACTGGGTATGAGTGACAGAGTGAAACCCTGCTTCAACAGTTCGTTACAGTTCATGTGGTATAGAAGCTTGGAAACAGTCATAAATGTTTATTGCATTTAGATAAATATTTGTGTTTTAACATTGTGATATTTGGTAATATGTCGTTGGTAATGTTCATAGCGTGATAAATACTTTTCCTTAGTTGTCCTCAAACATTTTGTTTTGTTCATGAAACACTTTTTTTCATTTTAGCTCCAATACTGTGGATTCCAAATTCGACAATACAATAGGACATATAGAAGATATTATCATGGGTAAGGATTCTTTGCTGTTTTTGTTAACTGAAGTTTCAATCATTTTAATACTGCTGGTTTTATATAATAAATTGCAGTATCATCTGGGTGTGAGTGAGTTTGGTTTTACGCCGCTTTTAGCAATACTCCAGCAATATCACTTCGGGGGACACCAGAAATGGGCTTCACCAGTGTTGTACACTCCCCAAAATTTCGGCCAGACAATTGGTCTGGTAGCTCTCAAAAGTTACCAGACCAGCTGGAAAGTTACCAGTCCAGAATTTTCAGGATTAAGATAAAATATATAGGAGGTAAATAGGAGGAGGGAACTGTTTAATGTCAGGTTATTGTCACAATAACACGTTTTTAAATGTTTTTAGTCATTATATACATTACAAAATACGCTGATTCAACAGCCAGACCATCGGGCGTGCAACTTTTTAAAAATGACCGTCCGGACGCAAAACAGACCGTCCCGGACGGTTCGGGCAGGCGGGAGTTTGCAACGCTGGCTTCACACATTGTACCCATGTGGGGAGTCTTTGGTGTGACGAGTAAACACTTTAACTACTGGGCTACCCCACTGCCTCATGTCAGTTACTGAGGTGGTTCACTTGTCTGAGGTGCTGCTGAAGACACTGTACTTGGTTGCCAAAACTTATGATGATGATGTGTTTGCATTGTGAGGATTGTCCTGTTAATGTTTTAAGACTGTCAAAACATACTAGTGATCAATAGTTTCACCAAACAGGAGAATGTCAAAAACCTGGATCACATCAAGCGTTCACCAAAGTGGCAATAAAACAAACTCTCTTGACTGATGTTAGACAAATGTCATTTGTTTATTTCTTAGGTATGCTTTTTCAAAATACAAGAAGACATTACAATATATTCAGCAAAGAAAAGACTCTCTTCATGCATTTCTATGAAAAAGAAATTGAGGAGGAATATATAAACATGTCATATCCATTTCAGAAGTTACTTTAGTTCATTTGTCTTAAGATCATGTATTTTCCATGTTACTAAGAATTATTTTCCTTTTTCAGAAGAAGAATTTCAGTCACAGCAAAGAAACTTTCTTGAGAAATACTATATTGAATTTGAAGACACTGAAGAAAACAAGTTTGTTTATACAGACATTCATACAGAATATGTAAGTTATCATCCCTTTTTTAACAATAGTTTGTAATGACAACAGGAACTGTGTAAAGTAATCACACACCAGTGACCATTGTAGTGGGAGATAGTAAACCCTTCCTCTTCCCATAGTGTAGACTTCCTTGTGTTTACAAGGCCTGGGACATCCATGATGTCCAAGGTGAGGAGGCAGGGGTTTAGCTACCATTATCCAAAAAAAAGCACAGGCTTATGCATGATTTTGAAAATGAAAGGTGGGCAAGCCCTCAATACTATCTGACTAACAGGATCGGGCTCGCTGACTTGGTTGACACATGTCATCGGTTCCCAATTGCGCAGATCGATGCTCATGCTGTTGATCACTGGATTGTCTGGTCCAGACTAGATTATTTACAGACTGCTGTCATATAGCTGGAATATTGCTGAGTGTGGCGTAAAACTAAACTCACTCACTGCAGGAGTAGCAAAACAGTTGAGGTACCTCTGATCAGTTGATTGTCTCTACAATAGGTGTATTAACTTAAATTCACACAGTGTGGATAAAGACAAATAGAAAACCTAATGAATTAAAGAATGTTTTGTGTTACTTTGATTTCTGTTGATAATGATGAAAGTGTTTTAAGGTTAACAATGGATGTTGAAACTTGTAACTGATACATTGCCAGCAGGCCATGAACTATTGCAATTCAATGATATTTTGATCAATTGTTGCACACCTATCTCCAAATAATTCACCATTCCTATGTTTCTGTTCAGATATCTGTGAAGTGTTTTATAGTAAATTTGACCAATTTTCAGGTTAATTTGGTAGAAAAGTATTTATCGGATGAGCTGTCGAAACGAATTCCAGGCTTTTCAATGCAGGACTTCTCGAAACAGCTTGTGTGAGTATTAACAGTTCATGGTGGAGAGGCTTCTCATGAATGATAGCCTTTGAGGTCACTACTGTAGGGGAGGGGAGACAGAATAGGTGCCTAGGACTGATACTGAGATGTAGACAGGGCTTGGCTTGGCTGATAGTGTCATGATTTGCTGGTGTGGATTTTAGATCATATTATTAACACTGGCTTTGATTGATTCAGATTCATTGTTATGCCACCATAGTGTAGATTCCTTCTGGTGACAGCGCCAACTCATTCAAACCTGGCTCACAGCTACAATAAATGAACTTTGAGCTAGTTGTTCGTTACATAATTAATGTATTGGTAAAACCATAAATATACTGTTATTCATTATTTATCATAATTAATTGTGTAGAAATATGTATGGGTAAAAGGTTTTTGCTCCAAAACAATGGAAGTAAAGAAATAATGTTTTATTTCTCTATTGTTTCAGAGACAGAAAAGACGAGTTGGAAGGAGAAATATTTGAAATACTGTTGACGTTTAGTGACTTTTTAGCCTTCAAGGAAATGTTCCTGGATTATAGAGCAGTAAGTAGTTAAACTTTCACTGTTTTAAATGATGACCGTAGTATGGCCAGCCACAATTGATAGGACTTAACATTAATGGCAGATATCTTTGACTCATCTGATTGAAAGTCAAGGCAGCTTGTGGGAGATGGTGATAGTATAACAACTGACCCGTAACTCTTTGATCATGCTGCTGGCTGAGACTCCCAGTGGACATTATTCAGCCATTGTTCAAAATGTAATTATATCCGGTTTAAGTATCAGATTTAGTGGGTCTGAATGCATAAATTCAGTTTTTATGTTACACATATGTTATGTTTGACCTAAATTTCAACTTATTTTTAAATGACATCTTTGTTAACATATCATACTGCTGACATATCAAAGTGAGCTATAGTGCTGTGACACTGTTTGTTTTTCAAATGTTTGGACCACCCATAAACAAGAAAATAAGTTTGCCTGTCTTTATGTTCCTTGCTGTTATACTTTCACAAACATGTAATGCAACTGTATGGCATACCTTGCTGTATTGTGTTGGTGGTGAGGGGAGGTGGAGATGGCCGAGTTATACTCTTGGTCTGCAAGTCCCCACAGAAAGGTGAGCAGCTATTACCTTGTTGTGTCTACACATGCCTCTGCCTCCATGTTGTCATCATTTGACTGTATTCGACTTTGTATTTCAGGACAAAGAAGGCAGGACAGTTGACCTTAGTGATGGACTTACTGTGAAATCAATGCAAGGGGACATGTCCCTTGATGGATCCCCATTCTCATTATGTGGACATTCCATGCAGAAACCCCAATAACCCATGGAGTTAGCATTCACTGGAACAACTTGTGATTTCATTTATACCGTCCACGTTTTAGCAACTACTTACACACACAGTGGCTGTCATTAGATGTCCCACTTCTGTATTGAGATGATGGTGCCTGCATGTCTAGCAGTTGGCAGTTCGGCAGGATGCAGCTGTACAGTCTGTCACAGATTACAGCTGACAATATATTCCACAATGTAATAAAGTCTAGTTATCTGTTTTGTGTTATTAAGATATATTTTTTTAATTTTAATGAAATAATGTGCTCTATATTTAAGAAACAATGAGTATTAGCAGGAATAGTACATACTCTATATCATGGTTTGGTTCTAATACTGTACAACATGTCACCTCTCATTCTTCTGTATAGCATGAATAGAGTATAGTTTGCAATCAAAATGTATATCTTAGTGTGTGGAGAAATATACTGCATTGAGTTTTAGGTTTTACTCTTCTGTGACAGGTTAGGAATGTGTTTCCTGAACTAAAATGTACTGTAATTCATGGGGTGAAAGATCTCAAGCAGTCAATCAATCTGGTTGTCCTATGTTTGTAATATGTCTACATGTGATCTCTGTATCATTACAATCTGTGGACTGTCTGGTTGTGAGACATCAAGAACACTGGCCAGACCATGCTATCTTATATTACACAAGAAGCATTGTCATTTTACCTGTATATTCTCACAAAACTTCTTGAATTTGTTCTGAACCGGGTTTTCTGTGAATAAGTATGAAATCTTGTATGAACTGTGTGATGTATCCGTCCAATTCTAGATTATTCCTTTCCAACAATTTGTGAAAGGTTGACTCAGTAGGAAATGTTATTTTGACACATTGTGCAACACTGTCAAATGTTTTGCAGTGACTGTCACATGCTGTAGACACTGAATTAATGACTAGAGAGAACGGTCAAAATGCAAAGTTTTCATAAGATTTTAAACAAGATGTGTTGTAAATGTCCTGAGGATGTATGAAGCCAGCATTTACAGATTCTTTGTGAAGCAGCTTGTTTTTATTTATTAAAGATAGCTGGTCAGTGCTGTAATTTATGTATGACAACTTCAGCTTGTGGCCAAACAGTGGCTCGAGTGTCCCTGGTTTATAAACAGGAGAAATAAAGTTACGGTGAACAAATGCAGTAGTCATGTTATATGTCATCCTCGATAATCTTCAGGGTATATGTTCCGATAAATCTCCACTATACCCTGGATGCATCTATGGCTTGGCCCGATAATTTTATTACCTCCCTTTGCTGGCTCTGCATTTTCACAGTAGCCATTCAGCTAAGCCGCCATTACAACAGAGCTTGCCAGTGTCAACAAAGATAGCGGTTGCAGTGCGACTCATATTTTGGGGAAATCATACAGACAAATTGACAGGTCAGAAACTTAAAAAAATATATGCAAGAACTATTTCTACCTTTTTCAGAGTACCTCTGCATCAATTGCGTAGACACCTGATTGGATAAAAAGCCAACCAAGGGAGGTAATAAAATCATAGCTGCATCCAGGGTATAGCGGAGATTATCGAGGATGGATATATGCATCAGTCACACACATACCAAACCTTCCTTATAATTGTGGTACATGTTGAAAGACAGTTTTGATACATGGAATTGGCAGGATTAAGTGTGTTTGGTGAGGGTTTTTCTTTGCTTTGAAGCTTGGTCATTTTTATAAATCATTATCCATAAGTACACAAAACAGACCAAGGCATACTTATGTAATCAGATACCTTACCTGTGACCAGGTACACACATATATATATATATATACACACAACATGAGAAGATGAACAGCTCTCAACTTGCACTTACTGAGTATTTGCTAATCACATTTCCCTGATGAGTCTGTATTGCCGATGAAGAGATAATCAAGGTTCTTGGACTCAATACCCAGTGATATTCTGTTGCAAATATTACTGTCAAAGTAAAGGTTTAAAACTAAAGATTTCTTCTAAAGCATTTGTGCAAATCTCAGTGGTTGAGCTCTTCAGACTTCAGAATTTGAAATGCTGATCTTATGCATTTCCATTCTCAACAGGTTCTCAAGTAAAGTGTATTTGGAGAGGATTTGTTGTGCTACATATTTTGTTTTGAGAACAGACTTCAAATCTTTTGCATTTATGAAGGGATGAATGTGAGACACAGTTTCATATATAGACTAAGAGGCAACTAACAGGACCGGGTGGGCAGACTAGGTTTTGGTTGACACGTCATTGTATACCAATTGTGTAGATCGATGCTCATGCTGTTGAGCACTGGACTGTATGGTCCAGACTCTATTATTTACAGACCGACACCACATAGCCGGAATATTGCTGAGTGCAACATAAAACAACAAACCAACCAATCATATATAGACTTGCACAAAGTGTGTCAGTTTTTATGTTTATACCTCCACAAACATCACAAAATGGAGACCTTGAAAAAAATAACTCACATCACACTCTATTAAATCAGTAATGAAAAACTAGTATGTTTTATGTAAACATGGCTTGACATATGAAAACTAAGATTATGTCAAGAAGTGATGCTATCTTAAGATGTAAATGTATGCTATGTATTCATCAATACACACTGACTCAACAATTTACTAGTCCTTTGCACTTAGAAATGTGTTCACAGAGACAATAGCAAGTATTGAAGTGTTTTCATAAATATTAACTTACATCTTGAATTCAATTACATGTACTTCAATATCTTTGAATCTTGTTTTCTACAAGAAACAATTATTAATGTAGTATTAGAATGTTAGCAGTAGCGTGATGTGATGGAATCAGCAGCAGAATATAGTGGGGTGTGTTTTAATATTGTGTATATGTCAGGCGATTCATGTACATGTGTATGGTTTTTTATACACACAACCACATGATTTAAGAAATACACTTCGCTCTACCACCATGTATAGTGTAATAAAACACACTTTTGCCCTGAACTATTATAGTTAAAGCACGAGGACGCAAGCCCTGAACTATTATAGTAGGGCGGGCGTATTTCTTTCTAAGATGCCAAATTTAATACTTTCTTAAAGATAATAAGCCATTAATTTAAGGCAGAAAACAAACGGACGGTAGCCGGTGACCTAAATTAAGAATATGCACAGGGCTAACTGGCTGTTCCCATTGATGTGTCTGCCCCTACGCTAAGATGAAGCGTTACCAAGAAGAAAAACAAATGATAACAGTTTGATGACGGGTTTACGCTGGGATTAAATATCTTCTCTGAATTATTTAAATTACATCTGTCATTAACATAAACCATATGGGGCAATATGAACGCTGCATTTCTACTACCAGCCGTAAGTTTAGATCAGTACATCCAGAGGAAGTTGAGTAGTCAAGTTTACATTCCACAATTGCATTTGGGAATGTAAACATTCTGAACGTTACCGTGTCGCTGAAAACTTGTGAGTCGAAATGACACATTTTAACCGCCGTGAAACATAAACGTAATGTTTCCACCAGTGATGTTAGCTGCGTGGAAGCAACAGCAAAACCAAGAAACGGGATGCAGCGGTGTAGTTTACTGTAGGAGGAGGCCGTGCGAGGCGCATGACAACTGACATGCATCGTGACGCCGCTTACATTGTGACGTAATGTAAAATGGTTCGATTCACGAGGGGACTATACCTTTATTGTCTGATAATGTATTTTTTTTTCGATTATTTCTAACCGCTAGGCATCTTAGAAATTATAGGAAATTTGCCTATTTCTCTGAGGATCCCAATAAACATTTTGTATCAAATTTGATTTTTGTTGCGTATTAATTTATTGTTTGAGAAGTCAACAGGAAGCAATTCAGATGACATGATCTTACTTGCATCAGCATGTTCAGAGGATCATTTAGCTTCAGGGGCAATGGAGCTGGTGGGATAATTGGACTGAGTTTGGTTTTACGCCACTTTTAGCAATATTCCAGCAACATCACCGGGGGACACCAGAAATGGGCTTCACACATTGTACCCATGTGGGGATTCGAACCTCGGTCTTCGCTGACGAAATAACGCTTTAACCACTAGGCTACCCCACCACCGGGATAATTGGAACAAACTCGACAGCAAAATTAGGATGCCAAGTTAGGTATGCATTTTAGACTTTTATAGTCTTATTGATACTGTCTTGATAATATTTAGTATTATTTTGTCTGTAAAAGTTAGTACATACATTTTGGATGGTTCTCGTCTTGGATAAAAAAATATGCATAAAAAGGCATGTTTAGATATACACTTTATTACAGTTTGTATCTATACTTTGTACATTTGGGGTAATTTCTTGCAGAAAAGTGGCTTCATTAACAGGAATGCTGCAGAGCATGGTACAGTAATCTTGTTTCCCCCACTTACAAGAGAACTGTTGGTCACCAAGGCTCTGTTTCACAAAACAAACGTAGTGCTATAATTGTTGTTAATTCCATACATAGGCAGTAGCACTAGGACTGTTGTTTAGTAAACAGACCTCCCAAGGGTTAGCTGCATGCAAGTCTGACAGGTCAAGTTGTAATAACACTAGATGTGTTAACTTGATCAGTTTGCAGAGCACACTTTACAGAATTCAATTTAAATACTGGTATCTTTATAGATAGTTTTCTTCAAACTCATGAATGAAACATGCAGTTTATAAACTTGTGACATAAATGGAACAAGTGCTTAGTTTCTAGTAGAATAGAATAATACGTTTAAATATGTTGTTTTTTCTGTCAACCAGTTTCAGGGACACATGTTTGTTTGACACTGCATGCAGTTTGCCAGCTATATAACAGCAGTCTGAAAATAATTGAAATGAGGTACAGACGTTTCAGTGATTCACATCATGAACATTGATCAGTGCAATTTGGACATACACGTGTGTATAGCTGGAGGTGTTGTGAGGAAGTATATATTTTGTTGTTTTAAACAGGACTACACATTTCAGGAAGTGACAAATATTCCATATCATCTTGTAGAACACATTGAGAATTATATTTCATCAAAACAAACATAAATTAATAAACCTCAAAAGTAAATGAGTCACAAACTTCAGACAAATGCAAATGCAACACTTGGACAGATTGATTATGAGGATTACTCTTAGAGCCAAAGTGAGGACTTATATAACCAGTTTTTTATGTGTTTAGTAACTAATAAATAGGTTACAGTATGTGTCTGTATGCCTCAACAAACTAATCACTGCAACTAATAGTTTTATTTTGTAAGTTTGTAAAATGAAGCATACATATGCAGATGGTGATATGTGTTGGACGGTGGAAGGAGGAATGCTACTCTTGATGCCTGATTCTACAGCTGACAAAATGGTTGTAACATTGGCTCCAAGTTGCAGACTTCCAGGTTCCTGTTCCACAAAGCAAGCATAGACAGTCACAGCACTACGATGACTCTATTCAACAGGGTCCAGGGACAAATGGACATCGTTATCAGAAACCAACAACAATAGGCCCAATTTGCTTACAGTTGAATGTTACTCTAATGAAATTTGGACAGCACAGGTTTGATTTGGCCTTTCAGTGAATGATAATCACAACATAACTGGCATTTGTTTGTATTTATAAGTGACACTTGTAACCTGTATTGCTTTGAATGGTCAGCGGAGCTCCGATATGACAGTAGAGCCATGTGATTCCATTCTTGTAATGTACATACACTTCAGGAAATCCCTCTGCCAGTATTGCCATTGTCCAATAAACCTCACATTTCATTGTCTATATACACTTGTCTTCGCTGACATTTTCCTTGTCATAAAAAATGTTTTGCAAACTGAGCATGTTCTGAAATATACAATGTATATTGAGAATAGCCTGTGGTCGTCTCAACTTGAGTTATGAGCTCAATCCCCATTTCATGCTCCAGACACTGTTGAACTCTAAGGCTTGACTGTCTTCCTCACTGTTTGGCTTTCTTCATGATGTTGGTGAACACACTGAGCACTTTCTTTATATGATCTTCTGGAATATCAATGTCAGCATTCTCCAAGTCATCGATGTCATTGATGTGAAATGATAGACCCTGTAAAGCAGAATAAACATCATCAATACTTTGCAGGTAATATCCCGATGTCAACTGGCCAGTCAGCCAGCAGTACTCATGCCTTGATGACACAGAACCCATCATAAGATCTGCCCATTACTGCTGTTACCTTCACATAACATGGACATCTGGCACACACATTGGACTATCGTTTTGGTGCCGTTACTAAATTAGCACAAACGATTATATTTTGTAATAATATGTGGTGATATGTATCATGATATTATTGCACCCTCTTCAACAATTATATCTTCTGTCAGATCTTTTAGGGGCAGTCGGGTAGCCTGGTGGTTAAAGCGTTCGCTTGTCACACTGAAGACTTGGGTTTGATTCCCCATGTGGGTACAATGTGTGAAGCCCATATCTGGTGTCGCGATATTGCTGGAATGTTGTTAAAAGTGTCATAAAACCATACCCACTCAGATCTTTTACTTTGATGTGATACCTGTCTGCTTGAAGATTTGACAACATCTCCATAGAACTAACTTTGACCTCCCAGTCTACATCAAAGATTTGTGGAATCTTGAACAAACCAGACATCAGCTTTCTAAAATGGTTCATCTTCACTTATTTAACCACTTCTTTCAACCATTTTGATCTTAGCAAAAGAAAACTGTCATCCAACTCTAATAAACCCAGAACAGTGCACCTTATGAGTTTAAGTTGCCATGGTGCTCAAAAATAACAGGACGTATACAATATACACCAGGGCTCCAGATAATTTTTCAACATCAGGAGTACGTACTCCATATTTTTTCAATATAGGAAAAACTTAAGAGTACATTTAGTGTACTGAATGGAGTTTAATGGCGTGTCAGTAATCTTGTGTTTCGTTTCATATATGCAACACAACATTACTTTTCTTGTGTAAACAGGTCAATAAACAATAAAACAACACTCTTTCAGATAAACACATCTGTAAATGATTCCAAGACCGTACAGCATTGCCGTGGTGCGTATCTGCTACGTTTTCTAAATTATTTCTACCGTATCGTGCATATTTTTTATCCGTACATACGCCGATACGGCCCTTATCTGGAGCCGTGATACACAACATCAGTCATGTTTTAGATACAGATATACCACATGCTTGCTTGTATGAAATCTTTCAGATTCGGTAGTTTTGCTGCTGAATGGCTCCATAGAAAGTTCACATGACTTAACTTTCTATTGAGATTTGATTTTAATGAGACTTTGCTGGTACCTACCTTATGACCTGGCCAGATGATGGGCCCAGTATGTTTAGTTACAAAGGTACATACCTTTCCTGTAAATCTGATGGCAGTTTCAGGTGAAGTGGGTGCGATGCTACCCACCTTTCCTGTGAGTTTAACAGCAGGGTCAGCAGGATTGGAAACAGGGCTGCCAGTGATAGAGAGGAGGCGTTCCCCGGGGCGTGGATCTCGTACTCCAGCAGGTGTGTAGGGAAGTCTAGAAACATGGCCAGACAAATGTAATCCAGTATATCTACACAATAGGTCTGTAATAAATACATACATGGCTTTTCATGAAGTTGGTTTTGTTTGCTTGATGTTTCTGCCAGAATCAGCAATATCAGCTAAATCAGTCCAGTGTCCACATAAACTATTCTTGTGTGGAACTGAGTACCTGGTTGCCTTCTATGAAACACATGGGACCTGAGGATCAGTGTTCTGTTCCACAAGCGATCTTAGATCTAAGACTGTAGCATCCTAATGTTATAGAATGGCAGCGATCTTAGATCTAAGACTGAAGCATCCTAATGTTATAGTATGGCAGTGATGTTAGATCTAAGACTGTAGCATCCTAATGTTATAGTATGGCAGCGATCTTAGATCTAAGACTGTAGCATCCTAATGTTATAGTATGGCAGCATCATCTTAGATCTAAGACTGTAGCATCCTAATGTTATAGTATGGCAGCGATCTTAGATCTAAGACTGTAGCATCCTAATGTTATAGTATGGCAGCGATCTTAGATCTAAGACTGTAGCATCCTAATGTTATAGTATGGCAGCGATCTTAGATCTAAGACTGTAGCATCCTAATGTTATAGTATGGCAGCGATCTTAGATCTAAGACTGTAGCATCCTAATGTTATAGTATGGCAGCGATCTTAGATCTAAGACTGTAGCATCCTAATGTTGTTATAGTATGGCAGCGATCTTAGATCTAAGACTGTAGCATCCTAATGTTATAGTATAGCATCTTAGATCTAAGATGCATCCTAATGTTATAGTATGGCAGCGATCTTAGATCTAAGACTGTAGCATCCTAATGTTATAGTATGGCAGCGATCTTAGATCTAAGACTGTAGCATCCTAATGTTATAGTATGGCAGCGATCTTAGATCTAAGACTGTAGCATCCTAATGTTATAGTATGGCAGCGATCTTAGATCTAAGACTGTAGCATCCTAATGTTATAGTATGGCAGCGATCTTAGATCTAAGACTGTAGCATCCTAATGTTATAGTATGGCAGTTACGATCACCTTTTGGAAAATATCGCTTTGTGGAACAGGTCAGTGCTTGTCTTGCATGACATAAGGGGAATTGAGGATCTGGTTGCCTTGTATGGAATAGTGTTGGGAATTGGTTGAAATCTCATAATTGATGATTGCTTCATTACCAACAAACAATCATCGATAAAAATTGGTTAGCGTCAATTTTCAGATTTTCCTATCCAGGTTGTTATTGCAGATATGTATAACATGATGCACCTTGCTACTTTAAATTGATGTTGATATATCATGAGCATAAACCTTCTGGGGTCTTCAAGAAATATTCAGTCATGACTTTTCAGTTAAGTTTCCAGGGCCTGACAACTTTGAAGATATGTTCCATCGTCAAGTGTTTCAAAGACTAAAACAGCAGTTCCAAAATCATTTGTGTTCAATTATGAGAAAATGTGATCGATTGCTTGATCGTTTGGTGACTTCGACCAATCTTCGATTATTTCAATTAATCGGAACACCACTAGTATGGCATATGGGAGAAATGAGGACCTAGATGCCTTGTATGACAAATGAGAACCTGGCTGCCTTGACAAATGGTAACTGAGAACCTGGCTGCCCAAATGGTAACTGAGAACCTGGCTGCCTTGTATGACAAAATGGTAACCTGGCTGCCTTGTGATGGTAAACCTGGTTGCCTTGTACAACAAATGGTAACTGAGAACCTGGCTGCCTTGTATGACAAATGGTAACTTAGGACCTGGTTGCCTTGTACAACAAATGGTAACTGAGAACCTGGCTGCCTTGTATGACAAATGGTAACTGAGGACCTGGTTGCCTTGTATAACAAATGGTAACTGAGAACCTGGCTGCCTTGTATGACAAATGGTAACTGAGCTTGTTGCATCAGACTAAAACTGCATCAACATAAGAGGTCTTACATGAAATCTTACAAAAGTGAAATCATCTTGGTCCCTAATATAAATATGATTGCATGGGTGAAAGAACCAATATTCCAAGTGGGAAGATATCAGGAATTAAAGAGGGGAATCTCAACATGGATGTAACTTTTCTCCAAACATCAGTGAGCCAAAACAGTCTTTGAGGAGGACTTCAGTTCAGTGAGATACACATTCAAGAGACTCGTTGGGAATGAACTGTTTCTGAGCACGCATTTCACCTAGCAATGTTAGGGAATCAGGCGTGTGATGAGCAGTAACTATAACACAAAACTTGTTGTAATCCTACTTTACTTACTTGGGATCAAACTTGGGTGTGATGAGGGGTGTCTCCCATCCTGAGGTAGCCATACTCCGCTGTGAAGGTGTTCTGTATCTGAAACAGACATTTTCCACTTACACCACTCACATACTTCAGTACAATCATCAATGCCTTACACGGAGACAGAACTTATAGGCCAACCTGTTGTTTTTCCTAACCTGCCCCAGACGTATTCAGATCAGACCAGCAGCTGGTTAACAAACTGGGCATGCAGAAGTAAACATTACATGGGTTCTGCTTCAATGATGTGACAGAGACAATGCTCAAAAACAAACCCACAGTATTCCTTTGTAAAATGGTGCAGCTTAAAGCAATATTCATTTGTTCATTCCTATGTAATAATACATCTCATCCTGTTCCCATCCAACAATTACACAGCTTGTAGGAATTTCAGATGACACTTAAAATGTTACACTTTGGCATCAAGTTATTATCAGCTTATTTTAGCTCAATCAAACTGTTTGCTATCAACAGTTCAAGAATGAGTGAGTGAGTTTGATGCCGCTTTTAGCAATATCACAGTGGGGGACACCAGAAATAGACTTCATACAATATGCCCATGTGGGGAATCAACAGTTCAAGAAACATGCAAGCACACATGATCAATATTTGTGCAGGTACCAAAGGCTCTCCTTAAATACTGGTAATAACTTGCTTGCAATACTCACCTTGACCTTAGTGAAGAGTTCATCACAGCAGAGGGTCTGTAAACAGAAGATTCCTGTAAATACTTGCTTTTCTTCACTGTCGTTCTGCCTGTAGCTTTCTGCAACATCAAAGTAGCATCCTTAGTCACAAAATGTCATCACAAACAGTACAGAATTGACATTATAAGTATATAGCAGGATCTGGATCTGTTACAAGGACAGGTAAAAGGAGGGTGAAACCAGGATCTGTTACAAGGAGAGGTATAAGGAGGGTGAAACCTGGATCTGTTACAAGGAGAGGTATAAGGAGGGTGAAACCTGGATCTGTTACAAGGAGAGGTATAAGGAGGGTGAAACCTGGATCTGTTACAAGGACAGGTATAAGGAGGGTGAAACCTAGATCTGTTACAAAGAGAGGTATAAAGAGGGTGAAACCTGGATCTGTTACAAGGAGAGGTAAAAGGAGGGTGAACCTGGATCTGTTACAAGGAGAGGTATAAGGAGGGTGAAACCTGGATCTGCTACAAGGAGAGGTATAAGGAGGGTGAAACCTGGATCTGTTACAAGGAGAGGTATAAGGAGGGTGAAACCTGGATCTGTTACAAGGAGAGGTATAAGGAGGGTGAAACCTGGATCTGCTACAAGGAGAGGTATAAGGAGGGTGAAACCTGGATCTGCTACAGGAGGTATAAGGAGGGTGAAACCTGGATCTGTTACAAGGAGAGGTATAAGGAGGGTGAAACCTGGATCTGTTACAAGGAGAGGTATAAGGAGGGTGAAACCTGGATCTGCTACAAGGAGAGGTATAAGGAGGGTGAAACCTGGATCTGTTACAAGGAGAGGTATAAGCAGGGTGAAACCTGGATCTGCTACAAGTAGAGGTATAAGGAGGGTGAAACCTGGAGTAGTATACACAATGGTGGTACGGGACCGCAAAGCAAAATTCCTATGTTAAAGTAATGGGGAAAAGACCAAAGGGTGCACCTCCACTCAACATTTGAGTATATAGGGACACTCTTTGTTTGTATTTTTTTTCTTCATGGTCCCAGTAGTCCATCCAACCCAAAGACAGGTATACGGAAAGCCAAAATGGAGTCCAGCGCAGAAAAACAACAACAATATGTCGATGGGGTTTGGACCACTCTCGTGTTGTTTCTCCATTCAAATTAGAGATACACTAGGTACATAGGTATAGAACATACCAAAATGCCAGGAACTAAGCTATCTTGTGAAGCCTACGCCGAGATCCGATCGGGTGAATCAGTGGCAGCTCCGAGAGAACTCCCGACATGGCCGAAGTCTTCGAGAGACTGCTGGTGAAGTGTCCCCACGTATTGCTTTCCGACCGAGAGAAACAAATCCTGGAGAAATCTGGACACACCTTCTACGAGCGCTACCAGATGCCTCGCCAGTTTCTGGAACTGTATTTGCTGTACTTTTGCCCATTCGTCGAAGACGGCAAAATAGTGGATTTCGTCTACCTCAACCCACCTAACCAATTTCGCCCAGCATCGGGCAAACTCCGCATCGTTCTCGCAGACGACTACTGCCACCCAGCAGAACCCAAGGACAGAAGACACCACCAATGCACCGACTGCCTGGCCGCCATATCGGAACTCCCCACTCTCTTTGAGGGAGACAATGCGTTCTGTGGAAAACAAAGCGATAGAAGACTACACACCACCCCAGGAGGATCGACTCCCACTTGATGTTCCAGAAGAAATCCCAATCCACTACTTTCTCTCGAACATAGAGAATCTGTATGACGACGACTGCCTCTCTTGGTGCCTGCGCTACCAACGCCTCGTTGACGAGTTGTCGGCCAATTGTCCATGCAGCGAGAAAGAGTCTTGTATCTTCTGGCAACTATCAGGACAAGCAGATCCGCCACGGGACGGGGACGGCATACCACCCTTTGCCCAACTACGGCGGACCCAAGGATGTGGAAGTGGCAGCCCCTCCATGCAGCAAACACCGAAAAGCCACAGACGTTCCGGAAGGAGTCTACATTTTCCAAAAGTTTTCCGTAGCGAAATACGAAGGGAAGAACCCACTGTTGCTGCTACTGGATTCGCCATCGAATTCCGGTGTACAGCTACAAGATATGAGAAAAGGTTCGAGACACTGGCGGAATAGAACGCCTACGTTTGGTGGGTAGAGCATTTCTGTGCAGGCTGGGCAAAATCTGCCATCCGCACATATCGATGAGGAAAGACGATCGAGACCGGCGGGAATAGCTTTTTTCTATCGAAAATACTACTACACAAACGCAAGGGCGTTGCTGGAGGAATCTGAGAAGGCAGAAAACAGGCTGCATTCCACACATCGACTTTCTCTACAGCATGTGGTGGGGGTCCATATGTTTTGGCGTCTCGTCGACATGTTTGTGGACCGGTGTTGCGTGGTGGGCGGCGGCCGACGGTGTGCTGGCATGCTTCCAGGTCTTGTAGACGACATTCCATACAAACAAGGAGGCTAGCGAAAGGTAGGTCCACTTTTGGGTTGATTCTACCGCCTGCAGCACCTTCTCAATACCCGACCGCGTATCCTCCTCCTCGACGTTTTCTATTTCCTCCCGGAGTTCGTTGTCGTCCTTGTCCAGCCTCGACAAGATGTCGACCAACAAATTTGTCGTTCGCTGCACACCAGCCGACAACGTATTCGCGGTTTGCTCCGCACGAGCCAACAACATCATCATATGTCTATATGGAAATCCCAATCCTCTCCCAGGAAAAAAATAATTTCTTGGTCGACATCTTGTCTAGGCTAGATAAGGATGACGAAGAACTCCAGGAAAAAATGGGAGAGGATTGTGATAGGATTGGGATTTCCATATAGACATATGGGAAGGATGGGCTCCAGGGCTCCAGATAAGGGCCGTATCGGCGTATGTCCGGATAAAAATTAAGCACAATACGGTAGCAAATAATTTAGAAAACGTAGCATGTACGCACCACAGCAATAGTGTATGGTCTGAGAATCACTTACAGACGTATTTATCTGAAGAAAAATATTGGTTTATTGTTTATTGACCTGTTTACACAAGACTATCAATGCTGTGGTGCATATATACTCATGCCAATAATGGTTGTCACCCTTCAATTTTTTATTGGAGAGGGGGTGGGGGTGGGGGGTGACAACCATTATTGGCATGAGTATATGAAACGAAACAATAATGTACTCTTAAGGTTTTCCAGTACTCCTGTAGTGAAAAAATATGGAGTACTTACTCCCTATATATATCCAGGAAAAAAGCTATTCCCGCCCGGTCTCTGGTGGGAGCAGCAACTCGACTTCTCGATCGTCTTGCCTCATCGATATGTGCGAGTGGCAGATTTTGCCCAGCCTGCACAGAAATGCTCTACCCACCAAACGTAGACGTTCTATTCCACCGGTGTCTCGAACCTTTTCTCATATCTTGTAGCTGTACACCGGAATTCGATGGCGAATCCAGTAGCAGCAACAGTGGGTTCTTCCTAGTCTCTCGTACAGACCCTGAAGCAAATATATCCAAGAAAGCCCACACAAGTCTAGAAAATGTGGCAAGTCTAGATTTCCTCAGCTTCAGGGTCTGTACCAATCTGCTGAATTCACAAGCCAGAATATGGCTTGTAATTATCAGTTGATCTCTAGCTGTCACTAGTATTTAATATTAACTCATGGGGAGCCTCCCCCAAGACCCCACGCTGAGCCAAGACCTCCTGCTTCTGCCTGTCCTCTCACTCCAGACAAACAACATGTGTGATTACACTAGAGACCTGATGACTTATAAAATCTGAGTATTTTCTTTAACTGTTTCATTTTACACTGGCGAGGAGAGGGGATCATTTCGAAAGGTTTTCCATCTCAGGGTAAAAATGAATTGGAACTTTGATGATTTGCATGATGAAGAGACAAACAGAGAAATATAAATCATTTGTATCAAAGCAGTGAACCTCAACGTTGTAGGCATTTGTGACTTTATCCATAAACTTTGAAAAGACATTGTCATGGGGATCTGATGGCATATTGTTATCCCGCGTAACAACGAAGTTGCGGGGAAATATGGAAACGAGTTCCGTCCGTCCGTGCTTCCATCACGCTTTGTCCGAAGCATATGTCCTAAACTATTTGTGATAGCTTAACCAAACTTGGTACACATGTCAAGCATGATCCCCTAGATGTGCCTTTTGGGGGTTAGACCCAGATTCTATTATTTACAGACAGCTGGAATATTGCTGAGTGTGGCATAAAACTAAACTCACTCACTCACTGCTATATACACACCAAAACATTTGACATAGTCATAACTAACTGACATATACATGAAGAGTATTTTGCCATTGCGGGGGATATTGATGACTTTTTCTGCTTGTTACATTATATATATGCGACATCAATTAAACTTCCACATATAGTGCAGACACAACCTTTGGATTTTGGAGAATATAAATAACTTTGGATTTTTTGGGGTGACATCCAGTTGTCCAGGCATAGGATTATCAAGAGATGCTACCCTTAGCTGGTATCCCTGCTTGCTCTCAAAATAGATTTGGCGACACTTGATACTCATTACCCCAAATCGGCCCACACCACTGGCAGTAGGACCGGGAGGCGGTGGGGGCAGTAATTATTCCTGTCACACACAATTAAAGCAGTAATGGGTGATAAGCATCTTTGCATGTGTTGTGAAATTCCAAGAAATTATCCCTCTGCAGATTTGTTTAGTCTCTGAAAATGAAGAAAGTCTCAGGGCTCCTTTTCATTATATATAATTTTTTTTACTATGAACTTTTTTCAGTAAAATATGTTCATTTCAGAGACTAGTTGTTAGTCTAGGTTCTTCCCTTCGTATTTCGCTACGGAAAACTTTTGGAAAATGTAGACTCCTTCCGGAACGTCTGTGGCTTTTCGGTGTTTGCTGCATGGAGGGGCTGCCACTTCCACATCCTTGGGTCCGCCGTAGTTGGGCAAAGGGGTGGTATGCCGTCCCCGTCCCCATGGCAGATCTGCTTGTCCCGATAGTTGCCAGAAGATACAAGACTCTTTCTCGCTGCATTGACAATTGGCCGACAACTCGCCAACGCGGCGTTGGTAGCACAGGCACCAAGAGAGGCAGTCATCGTACAGATTCTCTATGTTTGTGAGAAAGTAGTGGATTGGGATTTCTTCCGGAACATCAAGTGGGAGTTGATCCTCCTGGGGTGGTGTGTAGTTTTCTATCACTTTGTTTTTCCACAGAACTCATTTCTTGCTGTCGGCGCAGTGGTCAATGGCGCCGCACTTGCACGTAGAGTTGTCTCACTCGAAGAGAGTGGGGAGTTTCGATATGGCGGCCAGGCAGTCGGTGCATCGGTGGTGTCTTCTGTCCTTGGGTTCTGATGGGTGGCAGTAGTCGTCTGCGAGAACGATGCGGAGTTTGTCCGATGCTAGGCGAAATTGGTTAGGTGGGTAGAGGTAGACGAAATCCACTATTTTGCCGTCTTCGAGCGAATGGGCAAAAGTACAGCAAATACAGTTCCAGAAACTGGCGAGGCATCTGGTAGCGTTCGTAGAAGGTGTGTCCAGATTTCTCCAGGATTTGTTTCTCTCGGTTGGAAAGCAATACGTGGGGACACTTCACCAGCAGTCTCTCGAAGACTTCGGCCATGTCGGGAGTTCTCTCGGAGCTGCCACGGATTTGCGTGTATCGGGCTTGCGATATGTGGTACTTCCTCTTTGCTTCCGGAAGGGACAAACGACCTGATCGGATCTCGGCGTAGGCTTCACACGATAGCTTAGTTCCTGGCATTTTGGTGTGTTCTATACCTATGTACATAGTGTATTTCTAATTCAAGTGCACCTTCGTCGATGGAGAAACAACACGAGAGTGGTCCAAACCCCATCGACATATTGTTGTTGTTTTTCTGCGCTGGACTCCATTTTGGCTTTCCGTATACCTGTCTTTGGGTTGGATGGACTACTGGGACCATGAAGAAAAAAAATACAAACAAAGAGTGTCCCTATATACTCAAATGTTGAGTGGAGGTGCACCCTTTGGTCTTTTCCCCATTACTTTAACATAGGAATTTTGCTTTGTGGCCCCTACCACCATTGTGTATACTACTCCTGGATCTGTTACAAGGACAGGTATATAACAGTGGTAGGTTCCATCCAGTTCATGTTGAGTCTTACCCTCCTGCAGTTCTGGGTCGGTGTTGGGCTGGCACCCTGCTCCTCCATGATGGTCTCACTCAAAAGGTTAAAGGATAACATGTTTCATTGAATACTTCACAGGCGGCTCACATGGATATGACTGACAAGGATCTAACATGGATATGACTGACAAGGAGCATATCACATGGATATGACTGACAAGGACACATAACATGGATATGACTGACGACACATACTCACATGAATATGACTGACAAGGACACATACTCACATGAATATGACTGACAGGGACACATACATGGCAAGGACACATACTCACATGAATATGACTGACAAGGACACATACTCACATGGATATGACTGACAAGGACACATACTCACATGGATATGACTGACAAGGACACATACTCACATGGATATGACTGACAAGGACACATACTCACATGAATATGACTGACAAGGACACATACTCACATGGATATGACTGACAAGGACACATACTCACATGGATATGACTGACAAGGACACATACTCACATGGATATGACTAACAAGGACACATACTCACATAAATATGACTGACAAGGACACATACACATGAATATGACTGACATGGATATGACTGACAGGGACATGTACTCACATTGATATCATGAATATGACAAGGACATGGATATGACTACATTGATATGACTGACATACTGAGATCACTGACAAGGACATGTAATCACATGACTCATCACTGACAAGGACATGTAATCACATGGATACGACTGACAAGGACACACACTAACATGGATATCACTGACAAGGACATGTACTCACACTGATATCACTGACAAGGATGTGTACTCACATGGATATCACTTACAAGGACATTTAGATGTACTCACACAGATATCACTGACAAGGACACATACTCACATTGATATGACTGACAAGGACATGTACTCACATGGTTCTAACCAGCTGACTTGACATAGGACACACTCTGCCAAAGCCACCAGTATCCTCCTCCTGGCTCTTCATCTCCAGATATTCCAGAGCACACTGAACTGTTCCCCCAGAGGCTGCAATGATAAGGGAGTGTACACATAATCATGGTGGCTTAATTCATGTTCTCAGTAAAACAAAACTTTAAAGGCATGAAGACATACATCAACACTGTACTGCCATCTCTAGTTCACCAGGGTTAGACAAGGTCAGTAGTGAAACTATGGAAAGAATGATGTTTTATGTATTGATCAAATAGATGAGTCTAGTCATGAATAAACTGTAAATAGATTGGATTTATTATTCCCTTGCAGCAGTATCCCTTATTGCGGCATGAGCCACAGACTTACCAATAAAATCATCCATTGTCATTTCTCGTACTTTCTGCAATAACAAATAGAACACATATAACATCAATATTACATGATTACAGATCACTGCCAATAAAAGACAACAGAAAAAGGAACAGTGTTACAATAACAAACCATGCCATCATTACAGTGACCACGTTAGGTGTTGACATATTTATCTTCTGTATCATGATACTTGTCACTGATGTGACTGATAACACTGGACAAGCATGATGAAATAATGACATTTTTCAGGAAAAGACTGAGATCTAATATGAAATGCCCAGTGAAGTTGGGCTGTTTAAAATGGCAATTTAAGACACTACTACAATCTAATGCCACAAAATTGAATTCTAACTGAAATTGAGGCTGTAGATTCTGTCAGATTATCCACTCTTTACGAAGATGTGCTTTAGTTTTTTCTTCATTTGCTCAAATTATATAGAGAATATTATATGAGTGCCCATGCCATACTATGTTTACGACACGAGTGCATAAATGTTGGTTTTTCTCGAGCGAGAGCTAGGGATATACCGATATTTAGGCACACGAGTGTCGTAAACGTCACCATGACAAAGTGATATTTTGCCCTAGGGCATCTTATGAAAAATATGAACCCCAATATGTTCGCCCTCGTAGTTAATAAAATCAAATTAGAAATGACAAGCATTCCTGTGTCAAAGGATAAGATTTGAATTCTGTTCTAAAAGGAAATCCAAATGGATCTTCAACAAATAATGAAAATCTATTGAATTCAGTCAATGATTTTACAGTTGATTCAAAAAGGTTTGCAATATTCTAAAAGCATCACACCTATGTTGCCTGCTCTCCAAATGTGTTATGAAACAATGCCCATGTGCTTTGTTTTGTACATATGACAATTTACTAGTAGTAATACTACTGTATATTGTAATTCAGAGGTATATAATTAAGCCAAAACACTTTGTTTACAAACTGTCTTAAAAACCATATAACCTTTGCCATTAGGGCAATGACAAGGACCTCTTGATAATCATGCTGAATTTTAAACACTGACATACATTATATAGAAACAAGAAAACCACATCTTGATAAACAAGGGAGTAATCCCTGACTAGAACCTACAGATTGGATGGATATGCTATAAATATTTTTACCTGAGGCAGCTGAATGATTTCTCCCTTCAGTCGGACAGTTACTGACTTGCAAAGCTGATTGATTTTATCTTCCATGATCTTAAGAGAGGTCTCAACTAAAAATAACATGTCAAAACACATATTTAACAAAACATTTTAAATCTGCGACAAAGACCTGTAAAGAAGCATAGGTATACAAGTTAAAATGGACATACTGGGTAATTAATTACACAGTGTTGATAATATGAAGCATATCTGGAGCTCGGAATGCATAAGAACTACACACCATCAGGCAGAGTAAAACTGATGGTTGGGCTTTGGGATTCATCACTGATCTCCAGTTTATTTTAGATGATATAGCTGAAATATGGATAATCAGTATTGGGGGATCTTTTCTGTTGTGGAAGGTACACAGCACATGCGAGATTCAGGTGTCATTCAACAGTAGCCATGGTAACTCAGTATACATGTGTATTCGTGCTGGATATTTCCTTCAGCCATATGAACTAATATAGCAGTCATCCTGGTAAGCAAATGGTGGGCTGATGGTGAGGTGGTAGCATGCTGGCAGGCACTGGTCTACCAAATACAAGACCATATGTCTAATGATCATGGCAATATTCCTGACATCTATTTCCAGGGTATGAATATCTACCTTTGGCATCATAGTCCTGTAGGAAGACTTCCAATTTACGCTCTCGTTCCTGCTCAGTCAGTGATTTGCCTTCATCCCCTTCAGGAGCTTTGGGTTTAGCTCGCTTGTTTATTCGAGTTGTTCGTTTACGAGGTGGCATTATGGATTTATGTAGTGCTAAAAATGGACAAACTGATACATAAAATATATATGACATTATTTCTTTTAAATCTTATATCTGTACCAACGATATTCCTCATCCTTATGATCATATATATTGCTCATTCATTATATCTTGATTATAATGTCCATGTATGTTTTTGCATACATCATCATGTTCATACACATTTTTGTTGATCACAGTACACTATAGGTATAAAAGTCGTGATCAAGTCAGTACTGACAGCAGTAGCTTGCTAATGATAAAACATCCACAGGGCATGCCCGAGATTGGACACTGACATATTTTGGATAAGACATTTTAAGATAGGGAAATATTAGATGCTATTACAAGATAACATTACAACATAATAGTTTGTTAAAAGACCCATTCTGACACATTCCCAAGAGTGACAGTAACATAGTAAATACATAAATATATCACAGATAAATGACTTATGAAAATGTGCATCAAAAGATCATTTTAAATTCACACATGTAAATGACTGGCACATTGAATGTTTCTTTTCAGTTGGTACCTTGTTGAGTAAAAGAACATGAGCATGCACTGTGTTCTTCAATCAGCCTTCACAGGCATGTCGAAATAATATCCAGTATGTTCACGTAGAGCTACTTGTACAGTTTTGTAATCACGTTTTCAAACATCAGACGTGTTTACTATAAGAAGGCGTGTTAAGTCACATAGATCATGCAGATATTGTAAATCTTGGATTGTTGGGTGTGTTTTTTTCAAGAAAATTTTTAAGTTAGTGAAGTTTTAGGTAAGATTACAGAATACCGGATACCTTCCGCCAGTAAGAGTTCTGCCCGTAACCCCCGCTTGAAATGTACTCTATTATTATTTAAGGGGTTGGGGGTTTAGGTTTATGGTTTAGATTTAGCATTATGTTAGGTTTAGGGTAGGCTTTCTATATAAAAACATCTATTCTAACTATAAATCTCAGGCATAGAATGATAAAAAAACGGGGGTTACGGGCAGAAATCTTTCCTCTAAGCAACCGAAATTCCACCGTAAGAGTGTATCTAGTTGTAGAAAAATAACACGGCCTCTGGTTCAAGTCTTTAGCAAAGGGAATATATGAGACTGAGAGGATACATCAGTTACATTATACTGAACTGTTGGACTTAAAAAATCATGAAATTTCACGAAAACGGTTGTTATTATTTATTTCATGAGATCAGTGGGTGGGTATGCTATATAATAAGAAAAATCAAACATGTCTACATGGCTTGTTCGCATTTTGGATCAAAATTATGACAGTTCACTTCATTGTGATATGTCGTCTTTTGATCGAGATCATTTCGTGATTCAAAACTCACAATTAAGAAAAGTCTACTTGCTGAAAAGAAGTTTCTACCATCACATTCCGATTTACTCCAAGTAAAGAGAATTGATCTATAATGCAAAAACTCACATATTGAAATTTCCGCTTTAGTTTGAATCAATGTTCTCTTAACCAATCAAACATCACTTCCGGTATCGTAAACCATTGTCGCAAACAACACATTTTCTTTTTTAGACTCCAGTTTCATCAATACGCAATCCAAATGTAGAACAAATTCTAATACATGTAAAATGTAATTACAAATTATTCTTTATATAGTATACAACACCAGTCGATCTTTATTTACGACCTATTACTCATTTCTGGCAAACAGACACTGCATGCTGCATGGCGGTCCATGGGATGATGGTATCTTGTTCAGCAGATACAAAGATCACAGGACCAAACAACAAAACATCATGATTGCAAGAAACTTTAGAAGAAGACAAACTCTAGAATATTGCGAAGCCATGACCTATACTAATTTTACAAGATAGTGTAAGGATGAAGTTCAATTTCCAATGAAAGCAAATAGACAATATGGTTTGAAATATTTTGAAACTGGTTTGACCCTGTCTCAGTCATCCATGACATCTTGCACAAACCAAACTTACTTCAAGAGTAATACTTCGACAAATATAGGTTCATCTGCATATTTACCATCCTAATATAATCAGAGATGCAACTTCACAATGCTTTCCACAGCCAATTGTAAGCAGTGTGTGAAATAGTTTCCAAATTTTGCTAGCCAGTGAGGCTAGGTATGCCTGAAAGTTACTAGTCCACAAAATCATTCACTAGCCTGAAATTTGAATGTAGAAACTACGCAAAAGATTACAAAAATAGATGAGAATACAATATTCATGTCGGCATGACAGGTTTCATCATTAAGCTGCTAATATGATGAACATTTTTATCAGTCCATAATATTGCATGCTTTGGAGCACCTTTAGAATTCTTCACTATGATTTGTAAGGAAGTAACGTACAACCTGAAGAGACGTCACATGTCACCATCACTCACACACTTCTTCGTTGAAGAAACTGTTGCAAATGTTTGTTCCAAAGCGGGGTTTCAAACTCACAATGCTCAGATTTAAAGTCCTGCTTTCTACCGATTGAGCTACGGGGGCCTCAATAAGTAAGTGTTCAAAATTTAGGGTCATACTTGCCGTGTGTTTCGAGCTGGAAGTTGGTTTGCCAATAGTAATATTGGCATGATGGAATGCTTGAAATTGATTTATCATTGGAATCGTACTCAAATTGATGCCCAGATTAAGCATGGTTTTTCCTTGACAACAACTTGTGACTGGTACAATTTTTGTAGAGAGGTGTGATAAATTGACTGACTGGATTATTACTAGCCATTTTGCACTGTTATTTTATCTAAATGAGTAGCAGTTCAATTGTTTTTGGTTAAAAAGAAACATACATTACTTGTCCCAATGAAAATATAAAAAAATAATTTTGATATTAAAACAGTAGTTATAAACACAGCCCAATGAAAAGAAACTACAAAATAACACTCCTGCTTTGTTACTTCTGTCACTTAAGGTTCTTACGTTTCTTTATAATGTTTATAGCTATACAGGTTAATACAACAATACTTTGTGTTGATCTGTAGCACGAGATTATAGCTGAATGTTACTTTGTAGTAAGTGAACGTTATGTGCTTGTGCCACATGCCATAGTCTAAAAATATAAATACAGTGAAATTAGATTATGTATTTTCACTGTATTTTTATAATCATTATAGCCATAACATTAACTTCCACGATATTAGATGGTCCCATGATTATCAACTTTCATTATTTAACCACAACCTAGGATTCTAATTAAATCATTGACAAAGGTCTATTTACAATAGGAATGGTGGCAAGTTTGCACCATTTAGCAAATAGAGAATTTGATTTTGACTCAGTGTGAACCTTTTGGGTAATTTGTCTGAAAGTAAGGTCTTTGCAGCGTTAAGCCTCACTTGTTCAGAAGGAAATGAGATAGATACAGGGAATTCTGTGTGCTCACAGACTCTCAGGTCATGCTTGTAGAGGTTCTTTATACACTAAAATCATTTTCCAGGTCAACAAGCGATAGGAAATGGGCGAGTTAAGCCTACAAAAACAGCTTCAGAAAACATTCCAAGTTCTTGAATCGGTTGTTTGTCTCTGGGAGAAGACGCTAGCCGACTGTGCTGGTACGGTTACTGTGGTAACCAACCTGTGTGAGCAGTACTCTGACTGTAAAGGCGTGGCTGTTGAAGCACTCCCAGTGGGGAAGGTATTACCAGATGTCCAGGAGAGGCTACTGTACAAGATTCTATCAGAGTTGGATAATAAACTAGCCAATCTACATGACAAGCTGTAAGTTACCATTTACTAATTTTAGGTTGTGTATGTGTATGCTGTGTAGGGCCACTTTCAGGATTTTGAAAATTCAAGGGTGCACATAATACCAAAGTCAAAACTGAAAAGTCACTTGGCCAAGGTCACTGTGTTACATGAGAGGTGTCTGAAATGTGCACCTCCTGCATCCCCAAATGAATCTGCCAGTACATTGGCTACTGTTCTCTCAGATAGGTTATGATATCTATATCAATAGCAATGGATTTCCAGATAATCATGTATATCAATAAGATATGTTAAAAATTATGTAATCAAATGAATAATATTTTAGATTTCATTTTGAATGTTAGTACTGAAAAGTAAACCACTTGTACAGTCATCGTAAGTTATCAAGAAATGCCCTGGAGATCTTGTGTGTAATGGAAGAGGAGGGAAAAGCAGCAAAGGAAATAAATTTGGATTTAGGAAGCTGATGTTTCTTTTCCCCTGGGAAACAATCTGTAGCCCTATTTTAGTTGTCTTTAGAGCCTTATCATTGGCAAGATTTGTATCAAAGTTCACAACTTAAGACCTGTTACATGTCCTATTTCAGAAGTGCTGTGAAAGAGGAACAAGATAAGTTCTGCAGACATCATGACCAGTGTGTGAAGTTGTACAAGAGACATTCCAGTGAACTTGATGTGTATAAGATGACTGACTCGACAGCAACATGGCCGTCGATGTCGGCCATGTTGGAAATACTCGTGGATTCGGAATGTTTGCTCTTTGACTTGTATCCTTTGTTTGTCTGTGAAACGGGACTGTGACCAGGGTTAGAGTATGTTCCCAGCATGTGTGCCTGTTGTCAGAAGGGATTAAATAAAGATCAGGTTAGCAGGACCTGTGACTTGGGTAGTTTGTCTGACATTGTGCCCCACTGCATGGTTAGTTACTTATGGTTTCAGTCACTTCTTTCAGCTGCGTTGATCCAGCTAGCATATTCCTATATATATGTGCTGGTAAAACAACATTGACGTATGGTGAATTTTAATGTTCAGATAAAACCTATGCGACTATTTGATTTGTTTAGTTGAATATACCCTTCCCTCAGGTCATTATTACAAATACTATTGTTTCTCAAATCACAATTTGTCATATGTATATTTTGAAGGTTGAAAATTAATACACACCTACTTCAGATTAGGATTAAGTGATCAAGGATCATCAGTTATCATGGTGAAGGACATACTACATGAGAAGAACCTTCAGCTGTATTGATCAGCAGTTTAAAAACCCTACATTATATGTCATTAATGTATGATAATGGAAGTTAGTTTCAGACTAAGTATTGGACCAGTGTCAGATATTAATGCATGATTGATTATGCTTAGTATGGAGTACTGGATCTTGATGAAGGCAGATACTGCCATGACTGTTAGATTTCCTTATGAACAGATATAATATGAAGATGCATTGGATAGAACAGTTGTCAGAAGAGAAGACTTTAAACTCTGATATCCTGGCCCAAACATGGTCGTCAGCAGACAAAGATATTCTACAAAACCTCAGAGGTGAGATAGATCCATCACAGGTGTAGCAGCATATTTTTTATGACAAATACGCCACAAATAGTTAAAATGACTTTTCGTGATGATGGTTTCCTAGGGGCAGGTGATGATTAGTGTGCAACACTTTTTATCCCCCCGTAACGCTTTTATGGGTATTAAAATGGACTCGTCTGTAATATTTCCGGTCAAACTGTCCGGCACATTTGTCTTTTCCGGAGCAGAACTCTAAAACCGTTTCAATATTTCTTCACCAAACTTTGGCACATAGATAGATCTGGTGGTGAACTGGTGCCTTTGGTAGTTTTGGAATTCTGAATAAACATTTTTGGCGTTTCCATGGCAAAAGTTCAACTTAGACTGAAATTAGTGGTTGTGTGCACTTTTCCGAGCTGAACTCTAAAACCGTTCACTATTTCTTCACCAAATTTGGCACATAGATTGGTCTGGTGGTGTACTGGTGCCTTTTGGTAGTTTTGGAATTCTGAATATATATCTGTGCCTTTTGGTAGTTTTGGAATTTGAATAATATATTTTTACGTTTCCGTGGCAACAAGTTTTGACTTAGCCTGAAATTGGTGGTAGTAACTTTTCCGAGCTTAACTCAAAACCCGCTCAATATTTTTCACCAAATTTGGCACATAACTGGTAAACTGGTGCCTTTGGTAGTTTTGGAATTCACTATTTTGGTTTGGCAACCAAACTTCCCGAGGCACATAGATAGATCTGGTGGTGTACTGGTGCCTTTTGGTAGTTTTGGAATTCTGAATAATATATTTTTGGCGTTTCCGTGGCAACAATTTAGCCTGAATTGGTGGTAGTAAATATTTTCCGAGCTTTGAAACCCATTCACTATTTCTTTACCAAACTTGGCACATAGATTGGTCTGGTGGTGTACTGGTGCCTTTTGGTAGTTTTGGAATTCTGAATAAAATATTTTTGGCGTTTCCATGGCAACAAGTTTGTCTTAGCCTGAATTTGTGATACTTTCTGGAGCAGAACTTTAAAAACCTTTCAATACTCTCCTTCCACTTTTCTATATACACACCTAAATATTTGACATAATCATAACTCGTAGACATAATTATCATGAAGAGTATTTTGCCATTGCGGGGGATATTGATGACTTTGTCTTCTTGTTATGCATTAGTTGTAAATAATAAATGGCTGTATACACTTAAGGTTCAGGTGTAGTACTGATTGGGAGTCCTTGTAGTGATCAGTGGTGTAAATGGGGCTAGATTCAGGGTGTAGCACTGATTGGGAGTCCTTGTAGTGGTCAGTGGTGTAAATGGGGCTAGATTCAGGGTGTAGCACTGATGGGAGTCTGTGTAGGGGTCAGTGGTGTAAAGGGGGCTAGATTCAGGGTGTAGCACTGATTGGGAGTCTGTGTAGGGGTCAGTGGTGTAAAGGGGGCTAGATTCAGGGTGTAGCACTGATTGGGAGCCTGTGTAGGGGTCAGTGGTGTAAAGGGGGCTAGATTCAGGGTGTAGCACTGATTGGGAGTCTGTGTAGGGGTCAGTGGTGTAAAGTGGGGGGCTAGATTCAGGGTGTAGCACTGATTGGGAGTCTGTGTAGGGGTCAGTGGTGTAAAGGGGGCTAGATTCAGGGTGTAGCACTGATTGGGAGTCTGTGTAGGGGTCAGTGGTGTAAAGGGGGCTAGATTCAGGGTGTAGCACTGATTGGGAGTCTGTGTAGGGGTCAGTGGTGTAAAGGGGGCTAGATTCAGGGTGTAGCACTGATTGGGAGTCTGTGTAGGGGTCAGTGGTGTTACTAGCATGTAGATTGAGGCTGTAGTACTGATTGGGAGTCTGTGTAGGGGTCAGTGGTGTTACTAGCATGTAGATTGAGGCTGTAGTACTATTGGGAGTCTCTGTAGGGGTCCGTGGTGTTAGTGGCATGTAGATTCAGGCTGTAGTACTATTGGGAGTCTGTGTAGGGGTCAGTGGTGTTAGTGGCATGTAGATTAGGCTGTAGTAGATTCAGGGTCAGTGGTGTTACTAGCATTAGGGAGGCTGTAGTGTGTTGGGAGTCAGTGGTGTTACTAGCATGTAGATTGAGGCTGTAGTACTATTGGGAGTCTGTGTAGGGGTCAGTGGTGTTACTAGCATGTAGATTGAGGCTGTAGTACTATTGGGAGTCTGTACCATTGGGAGTCTGTGTAGGGTCTGTGGTGTTACTAGCATGTAGATTGAGGCTGTAGTACTATTGGGAGTCTGTGTAGGGGTCAGTGGTGTTACTGGCATGTAGATTGAGGCTGTAGTACTATTGGGAGTCTGTGTAGGGGTCAGTGGTGTTACTAGCATGTAGATTCAGGCTGTAGGCTTGGAAGATTGGTGTAGCATGGAGTCTGTGGTGTTACTAGCATGTAGATTGAGGCTGTAGTACTGGTGGGAGTCATGTGTAGGGGTCTAGTGGTGTTAGTAGCATGTAGAGCATGTAGATTCAGGCTGTAGTACTATTGGGAGTCTGTGTAGGGGTCAGTGGTGTTACTAGCATGTAGATTGAGGCTGTAGTACTATTGGGAGATTGTGTAGGGGTCAGTGGTGTTACTAGCATGTAGATTGAGGCTGTAGTACTATTGGGAAGATTGTGTAGGGGTCAGTGGTGTTACTAGCATGTAGATTGAGGCTGTAGTACTATTGGGAGTCTGTGTAGGGGTCAGTGGTGTTACTAGCATGTAGATTCAGGCTGTAGTACTATTGGGAGTCTGTGTAGGGGTCAGTGGTGTTACTAGCATGTAGATTGAGGCTGTAGTACTATTGGGAGATTGTGTAGGGGTCAGTGGTGTTACTGGCATGTAGATTGAGGCTGTAGTACTATTGGGAGATTGTGTAGAGTTCAGTGGTGTTACTAGCATGTAGATTGAGGCTGTAGTACTATTGGGAGATCGTGTAGGGGTCAGTGGTGTTAGTAGCATGTAGATTGAGGCTGTAGTTCTGATTGGGAGTCCGTGTAGGAGTCTGTGGTGTTACTAGCATGTAGATTCAGGCTGTAGTACTATTGGGAGTCTGTGTAGGGGTCAGTGGTGTAAAGGTCTGGTAAGTGGGCCGAGAGTCAAGTCCAGACTACTGTCCTGTTAGCAGCTTCTGAACTCAGTTGAGATTGTCACTATTTTAACAAGAGTCTCATGGAAACTATAGTTCTGTGAATTCACAGCTATGTCTAGGTGCAACTATTGTCAGTGATTGTGGAAAATTCACCTGGTTCAACAGTATTGTGATATAGAGTTACCTTGCCTTTCCACAATATTTATTAGCCATCTTTGTTTTGACCTGCAATAAAGTGGTCTGGTTTTGCAGGTGGCTTGGGATTTTGTGTATATGCTATGAATTACATTTACCCTAACAGGACACCTACATGCTTCTTCAAACAATGTTTGGATTAAATGGAAATAAATAGTAATCCTTGAAACTAAAAGCATTGTATTAAATGTAGGTTTCATCACCATCAATGTGTAACCAGAGATGAATGCTTGGATCACTGCTCAGATGCTGTAATTGTTTCACCTACTGAATTTATGTACAGGATACCTTGATCAGGTTGATAGCTGTGTTATATCTCTGTCAGGGACATAGTCCTGAAAAAGCAAATAATTCACTCACTCGCTTACATTTTCAGATTCTCTCTGTCATCTGACATTCTTTGTACAAGAGAGGCTTTGATACAGTACCTACAATATTGTCCTCCCTACCCTAGCGTTGCACCGGGTAACAACACCAACATGGGACTCCTACACGGCGTAACTCATACAGCACTGGGTAACGTCAACCATATGGAACTCCACATGGAGGGAGTCTCACAGGCTGCACTGGGTAACACCACCAACATGGGACTCCTACATGGCGTAACTCATACAGCACTGGGTAACATCACCCATATGAAACTCCACATGGAGGGAGTCTCACAGGCTGTACCTGGTAACACCACCAACATATGCTCTTGGTAACACCACCAACATGGACTCTCACATGGAGCACCTCAGGCTGCACCTGGTAACACTGCCAACATGGAAACTCTCATGGAGCACCTCAGACTGCACCTGGTAACTCCGTCAACACAGACTCTCTCATCGAGCACCTCAGGCTGCACCTGGTAACACCACCAACATGGACTCTCCCATGGAGCACCCCAGGCTGCACCTGGTAACACATCCAACATGGACTCTCACATGGAGCACCTCAGGCTGCACCTGGTAACACCACCAACATGGACTCTCTCATGGAGCACCTCAGACTGCACCTGGTAACACCACCAACATGGACTCTCACATGGAGCACCTCAGGCTGCACCTGGTAACACTACCAACATGGACTCTCAAATGGAGCACCTCAGGCTGCACCTGGTAACACCACCAACATGGACTCTCTCATGGAGCACCTCAGGCTGCACCTGGTAACACCACCAACATGGACTCTCATGGAGCACCTCAGGCTGCACCTGGTAACACCACCAACATGGACTCTCAAATGGAGCACCTCACATGGAGCACCTCAGGCTGCACCTGGTAACACCACCAACATGGACTCTCACCTGGTAACACTACCAACATGGACATGGAGCACCTCAGGCTGCACCTGGTAACACCACCAACATGGACTCTCAAATGGAGCACCTCAGGCTGCACCTGGTAACACTGCAACATGGACTCTCAAATGGAGCACCTCAGGCTGCACCTGGTAACATCACCAACATTTACCATGGTAAGAAGGACCATGTGGACATGCCAGCCACAACTGGAGGATACTCAGAATATGATGATGATGATGAGAGGTGGACCAGTTATACTTAAGACTGACAGTAAGGTTGTCTTTCCATCATCATGGTTTGCATCTTACATTCAACTGCAACCAAAAGCTTTGATATATGCTGGTCAAACACCTGTGACGATCTGGGTTAGAATGAATCCTCAGTAACCCATGCTTGTTGTAAATGCGACTAACAGGATCGGGTGGTCATGCTCGCTGGCTTGGTTGACACATGTCATTGGTTCCCAATTGCGCAGATCAATGCTCATGCTGTTGATCACTGGATTGTCTGGTCCAGGCTCGATTATTCACAAACTGCTGCCATATAGCTGGCATATTGCTGAGTGTGGCATAAAACTAAACTCACTCACTCACTCAAGGCCACTTCCCCCAAACAGTCTGTTTTGGAAAACGGTTATAGATTTCAGCACTTCCACTTGGGACAATGAAATTCCGCCTTCAAACATGATTAATTGCTTTCTCTCGCAAACAGAATTCATGTATTCATGAACATTATTTACAGACCGCCGCCATATAGCTGGAATATTGCTGAGTGCAGCGTAAACCTAAACTCACTCACTCACTAGATCTTCCAACAAGTACATATTGTAGGGGAGTGATTTAATTCAAATTAAAACAGCTTCCATAGTATTATCACAGTCAGAAGAATAACAGCAACCCTGTTTGACAGAAATGTGAAACTGTAAACAATAAAGTCAAAATATTCACCGCAGTCACTCAAATGCAAAACATTATAATGAGGATAATGTATAATTCTTATCACTAACTAAATCATGTATTTATTTACTGGTGGACACCAGGCTGGAAGATCAGAGAAGGCAAGCACTGGCAGATCTATAATAATATAGGTTTTGACCTCCATAATTAACAGTTTGTATTCAACAGTGATAGAAACGTCTATCTCAACAAGGCCTGGCTGCTGTACTGTTCAACCTATAAAAAAGTGTATTGTTCTTATCACATAGCGTAACCTTGGCAACATGTATAACACAAAATGATAATGACTGTTGGGGTGGTGGGGTAGCCTAAAGTACTGTCGGAAATGCTAGAAAAATGCTTTTTGACTTATATTTAAAATTCAGAGGTATTACAGTTACCTTAAATAACAAATATCACTTCAAGAAACATCTACCTAATGTAGACCGAGAGAATAAATTGTGAGACATGCCCTAAAATGTGTTTTTACTGATGAAAATACCAAAAACTTAGAAAAATAAGGGGTAGTGGGACGTTATTTGATACAAACATTAATTGCCTGTGTTACGTCATCAGCATCCATGGTATTGACACCTGAGCATGCGCTCGGGCGAGGGGTCATCTCAATAGATGTTTTCTGCAAAATGTTGAATATGTGTACATTATAGTATAATGATCGGTTATGTAAGGGATCATTTGTGTATGTGTGTTTTTTTTAAATAAACATACGAATTACTGTACATTGGAAGAGTCTAATCACTTGTGTTATCTTATCGATTGATTGTAGAAATGTGCAACGTTTTAATAAATGTTTTGCATGTCAACAGTATATTTCATTGAAAACATATGGATGTAATTCGGTCAGTTTAATCTAGTTGTGAACATTGGCCAAAGATTTAACGAAGTCACTGGTGTAGCTTCTTTAGAATATGTATATTTTTCTTCTCATAAAGTTTGTAGACCCGCCAGTCTAAGCACTCCCTTGTCAAAGTTGTCAAGGATGGTTTTCACGTCCCGGTTTTGCATTTGAGACGGTCCCTGTCTTGTCTGATTTGTTTACAATATTGTAAACTTGTTGGTAAGACATGCAAACAGCTCTACAAGTTCTGTAATAAACCCTTTCTAAACTAATGAAAGGTTTACCTCTGTCTTTTTTAAGCAGAAAAAAATTTGTAAACCTTTGCAACAATCGACTGCAAATCGTTGGCCATAGTGGACGCTGTGATAAAGATGTGCATGCATGACGGGAAACTTATTTATCAAGACTTAACATTTATAATAATATTTCTTCAATAAAGAAACGATAATTAAGTAAAGTAACACAAACATTGAATATTTATTTGTTTAGGAAAAACGTTAATTCATATTTTTACACCACCTGTATTATTAGCATAAATGTAAAGACTATTTCAGATTTCTGTTGTTGAACTCTGAAAAAATATTAAGTTGCTGTTTTGGTACCAAATTCTCTCCTGTAAACTGCCCTTTAAATGCATGGGAATGTTAAATCGATTGAAATAAAAATTAGGTAGACAATAGGCGAGTTGATATATTGACAACATAGTACATTTATCACCTTTATAAAGATATTAAGGCTAAAAAGCATTTTTCTAGCATTTCCGACAGTACTTTAGATGGTTAAAGCGTTAACGCTCATCACGCGGAAGACCCTGGTTCGATTCCCCACATGGGTACAATGTGTGAAGCCCATTTCTGGTGTCCCCCGCCGTGATATTGCTGGAATATTGCTAAAAGCAGCGTAAAATTAAACTCACTCACTATAATGACTGTTCCACAGTCGAGTGTTACTCATCTTGTGTCTGTGTTCTGTGATGTTTCCAAAACATAATTTATGCTTGTGTATAGATACAAAAAAACAGTTAATCATATACTTCATGCAGGCATTTTGTTTACAATGGATATAAACTTCCTGGGTACTAGAGTTAGATGTAGACTATCGCTCACTTCTAACTTTCTCAAATTAATCAAACGTGATGCCCTCTGTCACTATACATGTTGAAAGACTGTTTCTGGGTAGTAGTCATTTCTGACATGAAAATCTAAACTACAACTCATGGGAAGACAGAAGATTCCCGTAGTAACTGAATCATTCATGGATGGCATATTGGGTATTTCATAAAATTCTGTGATTAAAACACTAACTAATAAGTTCACACAAACAATAGGTACATTACAGTAGGGAATATACACACCTGGTCAGTCCCCAGTTTGACCTGGGATAGGACATTGTAAACACACTAGAACACTGCAAGAACATGTGTCAATAGATGTACAAATGTTTTGGCAACAGAAACAAATCACAGTCGAGCAAAACGTGTTTGATTAATGCAACAGATGCTACACAATAAACTTCACCTCAACAGACATAACAGTGTATGTAGTGTCAAGAGGACAACAATTACAATAATACCAGGACAAAACACTTGTTTAGGCTCTTATAATCAAATCTTCAAGAATGAACATCTAAAACCTTAATAATTGCTATGATCTTTAACAGTAGTCAGCCAAAGCAATATTTTGAAAGGCAGGGGGAGTGGGGATGGGGGGCAAGATAAATAGTTGTAAAACACCAAGGCACATTTCACAGTGGAAACCAAAAGATGCCTATGACAGGTGTTGATGTTGTTCCATCACTTATTAAGCAGCTGGCATGACAGGGAATAGTATCTATTTGGCATGTGCCGTTCACATGACCAGATCTTTATTTGCTATGCTGTTTGTTGTTTAATGCTGCACTTGGCAATATTCCAGTTATCAATAGATAGGTCTGTTAATAATCCAGTCTGAACCAGAGAATCCAGTGATCAACATCATGAGCATTGATCTACGCAATTGGGATACAATAACGTGTCAACCAAGTCAGCAGGCCTGACCTCCCAATCCTGTTAGTCGCCTCTTATGACAAGCATGAAGACCAATTCCAACCCATATATTCACGGCTCCTTATTGCTATGTGCTGACTTTACATTTCACAAATGAATTGTTTTGTTATACCAGACACAATTATGTACAGACCGCCACCATATAGCTTGAAGAGTGCTGAGTGAGCACTCATTTGACAACAACCAAACCAAACTATTTTGTTAAATGCAGCATGTACTGAGAATGAAAGTGTCATAAAAGCTAAACATGATTATGAGTCTGTGCTGCTGGTAGATGATTTCCTGTGGGCCATATGCAGACCCTTCTCATATGCCTGGTGGAGTTTCTGTAGAGTGGAGGCCATCTTGTGTCCATCCTTCTTGCCCCCAAACAGCTGCTGCCACTGTCTCATCTGAAGCTCCTCGGGACTCAGCAAGGCTGCCTGTTGGAGGCAGAGGTCCTGTTTCTCCTTCTTCCGTTTCTCATCCTGAGAGAGAATAAATGTCTATAAGCAGCTTTACAAGTGTGTTGGAAGTAGTCACTTTGCATTTGAGAGGAAAAGGGAAGGATGTAAGTGTAAGACCTCAGCTACATGACTGAAGGCGGAGTCTAGTAAAATATCATTCAATTTGAATTACGGAGAAAAATCTACCCCCTATTAAAATGTTGAGAAACTAGGCCACTGTTTCTTTGATGAAATTTAGGGTAAGTGAAGAAACAAGACAACAGGTTTTTGTACAGGGTTTTCATTTTTGACATACTTGCTGAACGACCTGCTGTGAGTTTAACTGTATTAGAATCTGACAGCATGGCATCACACTGATTTAAGTGTTACATTGTTTCTACACAGTGCAAGATCCAGGAATACTGAACACTGCACTCAAGTCACTGAAGTTCGTCTGAGTACTATTATACAATTCACTGCCCAGTGAACCAGGTTTATGTATTCACCAAATTCTGTCAAATTACTGAATATTGTCAAGAGAATGTGGTTACTGTGTCCACAAACCTTGGTAACAACATACATGATGCTTCCAGTCTGAGGCCAGCAGGTGGTTTTAGTTAAAGAAATCTAGTTACTGTAATTAATCACAAAATCAAGATAAGAGGCTGGCCTTCCATAGTCAGCATGGCAGACACATACAACATATTCTTACCAAACACTAGTGTTCTTATTCAACAGTTTCCTGGGAAATATGTATTATCTCACCAAATTCATTTAAAAAAACCCAACCCAACAATCTGCGTACACTTTTATGGATGTTCAGCTACAAAGTATCGCAAGACTGATTGCATAGTGACAGTTGTTGCAACCATTTATGAGCCAATAAAAACATTTGCCATGCACCACTGCACCCATATAACTCAAGGCCACTTCACAAACGGCGACTATGCTTGTCATAAGAGGCAACTAACGGGATTGGGTGGTCAGGCTCGCTGACTTGGTTGACACATGTCATCAGTTCCCAATTGCGCAGATCAATGCTCATGCTGTTAATCACTGGATTGTCTGGTCCAGGCTCGATTATTTACAAACCGCAGCCATATAGCTGGCATATTGCTGAGTGTGGCATAAAACTAAACTCACTCACTCAAGGCCACTTCCCCCAAACAGTCTGTTTTGGAAAACGGTTATAGATTTCAGCTCTTCCACTTGGACAATGAAATTCTGCCTTCAAACATGATTAATTGCTTTCTCTCGCAAACAGAATTCATGTATTCATGAACACTTATATTCACACAAAGGTTACATAATTTTTCCTCTCCAAAGTTGAGAGTTTGTCATCTAATCAAAGAAGTGTTAGGTACTAATGCCAAATTTGGGATTCTGGATGATTATCTTCAAAACTGTATGTACACTTGGTGTTGAAATTACTTATGAATAAAAGTATGTCACCTTGATAGCAATGTCATGAGGGTCTCCTGTTGAGTAGACGGGAGGAGCGGATGACATGCGAAGGTCACAGGTTTTTGTAAGACGTGGTTTGATGGACGGTGGTTTGGGTGCAGCCCGTCCAGAGAAACACTTGGGTTGTTCAGCCTCTGCATAAAGCTTTGCAAGCCTGTCAAATACCACATAAGATGTAAGACAAATAAAGGAACTTTGTATTTCATATGGTATACAGAATTCTGCCTTAGAAAAGAATTGTCATTTTTTAAATAAATTTTTGTGCATTTGGATAAATATATATTAAAGAAAGACATGAAATGATCACAATGCTCTGTCATGCTTGAACAGAAGACATATTGAAAGATACACCTCACAAATTCAAATTCATGGGAAAAACATATCAAACAAACATGAAAATGACTATTAGACCATCTGTCATGTCTATGCAAACAATGATCTCTGAGAATGCACAAGTACAATGTACTCACGGTTGTGCAAAGTTACTTAGACAGGCCAGTGAAACACTGTTGTGTCAAACTTTGATGTGTCAGAGTTACGGTTGTCTAAGGATAAACACTGGGTTCCTGCATATTGCTTATTTAGTCATCATTTCTATGGTTGTGTTAAACCTTAGACAACTCGGAAGTATTCTTGTAGGTACTTTAACTTTGACACAACAGTCCTTGAGTGTATTCCAAAGAACAAGAACTGGAACCTCAATTTCAGAACAACTACACTACACTGCATCCACTTGCCTGAAAAATGATGAACTAATCCAGAATTAGCATCACTGAGACTTCCCCTCACAAATTCAGCAACTGTGTGTCCCTTGCACTGAAGAGAACACAGAGTATTCACACTAACAAGTCATGTTTCATCATTTCCTTACTTATCTTCTCTTTCTTTTCTTCTCTTGCACACCTCCTTGAAGCTGGGAAACATGGTGTTGCCCTTGACCGGGGGACGAGGGGAGGCCTGGGCAAGGGGGCGTACATCTGACAACTTTACCATTGCACCATGACCCAGAGGGCAGGTGAAGTATCTCTTGCCCATGTACATACCATTGTGAACGGAGTTGACTGGAATCAGAACAGTCATACACCACACTTAGAAAGAACAAGATATGAGAACAACAGTTCCACTTTACCAACTTATCACCCATCCACTCGTCACTTATCCACACATCACCCTTCCACTTGTCATATATTAACAAATAACCAGTCTACCACTCCTAATCCATCCAGCCTTCACCCACTCATAATCCATCCACCCTTCACCCACTAATAACCCATCCACCGTTCATCCACCCACCCTTCACCCACTAATAATCCATCCACCCTTCACCCACAAATTCATCCACTCATAACCCATCCATCCTTCACCCACTAATAATCCACCCACCCTTCACCCACTCATAATCCATCCACCCTTCACCCACTAATAATCCATCCACCCTTCACCCACCATCACCCACTAATAATCCACCCATCGTTCACCCACTAATAATCCACCACTCATAACCCTCCACCCTTCACCCACTCACTCATCACCCACTAATAATCCATCCACCCTTCACCCCATAAATCCACCCTTCATCCACTAATAATCCACCCACCCTTCACCACTCATAATCCATCCCTTCACCCACCCACTAATAATCCACCCACCCTTCTTCACCCACTCATCCAACCCATCCACCCTTCACCCTTCACCCACTCATAACCCATCCACCCTTCACCATAACCCATCCACCCTTCACCCTAATAATCCAACCCTTCACCCACTAATAATCCCCACCCAACCCTCATAACCCACCCACCCTTCACCCACTCATAACCCATCCACCCTTCACCCACTCATAACCCATCCACCCTTCACCCACTAATAATCCACCCACCCCTTCACCCACTCATAACCCATCCACCCTTCACCCACTCCTCCACCCACCACTCATAACCCATCCACCCTTCACCCCATAACCCACCCCTTCACCCACTCATAATCCATCCACCCTTCACCCCTAATAATCCACCCCCTTCACCCCCACTAATAATCCACCCACCCTTCACCCACCACCCACCCTTCACCCACTCATAATCCATCCACCCTTCACCCACTAATAATCCACCCACCCTTCACCCACTCATAACCCATCCACCCTTCAACCATTCATAACCCATCCACCCTTCAACCACTAATAACCCTTCAACCAGTCATGACCCATCCATCCCTCACCTATTGTCCAACAAGTTGTATCTTACCATTGTCATCCAGCTTGACTCCAACATACAAGCGTGGAGCTATGAGGCGGTCATCAACATAACCCACGTAACGCACTGAACCTGAAAATACAAACAGGTTCAAGTGATGGCTGACTGTCCAAAAATCATACATGCTTTTGGAAAAGGTTTTCAACAATGTTGATTGGCGGTTGTGTGTCATGGCAGGGTTTTGAAAGTTTCTACAAGTACATGTATTTTAGCAAATATCTGAACAAGACATTCTGTAATTGGTGACATGCAAGACAAGAGTCACCAGAATATGACATATACCCCCGGCCCCCACATATTTGAAAGAACAAATCATCTGACAGTTACTTCAAGTCCAACTTGATTTTTGTTTAGACTAAGTCCAAATCGTTTCCATGGAAATCATGAAAAATATAAATGCCAAAAATATGTAAATGGCAAAAGGCACCACTTCAAGATCTGCTTCGTATATCTGCCAAGTTCTGTTGAAAGATAGTAAAAGGTTTTCGAGTTGTGCTCAGGAAACAAAGCCCACCCCTCCCTTTTGAGACTAAGTCCAAAACGTTTCCATGGAAACTGAGAAAATTAAAAATCACAACAATCTGTAAATAGCAAAGGGCACTACTGTAGTTTCTGTTTGATATATCTACTAATATTTGCTGAAAAATATTGAGCGGTTTTCGAGTTGTGCTCCGAAAACGAAGCCCACCCCTCTCTTTTGAGACTAAGTCTGAATAAACATAGAGATTTTTCTGGGTTACATCTTCTTTTTATTCTTGAGTGCAACGTTTCAGGGCTTGTTTTGGCCCCATCATCAGGTAAAACTGAACAGTGATGATGATGATCACCATAATGAAACCTGATGCCAAGTTCTGAAACCTCAGAAAAGCATCAGTTCTGATGCCTCAGAAACCTGAGGATGGGGCCAGAACAAGCCCTGAAATGTTATACTCAAGAATAAAAAGAAGATGTAACCCAGAACAAGCATTGTCCCTAAGGTGACATAATACCCCGCGGCAAATTATCAAATCAAACTTATAAAGTAATGAAAGTTTACGTTAAATGTCAAGAAAAACATGACCAGTCAACCTCTCGATATCTTGCTCTTCAGGTGTTCAAACACACACACATATTTTCAAGACTGACTTTGACCTTGACATGAATGTCATAGTGTATGAAATATGCAAAAATAGTACTAAAGAAATTGCTTATTGAAAAACATTCAAGTGAAGTCTTGAAAGTCTATGAAGAAAATCCAGTGAACCGTTCTTGAAATATCTTGCTGACAATTCAGGTTAACATACTGACATCTTCAAAGTGTCATTGTGACCCTGAAAATTAAGTGAAGGTCACCAAAATTGACTGGGCCCTGGGCCTTCCCTAGGTGAAGCTTAGTGTCAAATATGAAGAAAATCCAGTGAATATTTTTTGCGATATCTTGCTGACTATCTTAACATGCAATTTAACATGCTGAAATCTTAAAAATGTCTCTATGACCTTGAAAATTAAGTGAAGGTCACCAAAATCGACTGGGCCATGTGCGTTCCCTGGATGAAGCTTGGTGTCAAATATGAAGAAACTCCAGGGAATGGTTCTTGAAGCATCTCACTGACAAGCATAACATGCAGGTTAATATGCTGAAATCTTCAAAGTGTCTCTGTGACCTTGAAAATTAAGTGAAGGTCACCCAGATTGACTGGGCCCTGCGCCTTCCCTAGATAAAGCTTGGTTTCAAATATGAAGAAAATCCAGTAAACGGTTCTTGAGACCGCTTAACGTGCAGGTTTACATGCTGAAATCTTCAAAGTGTCGCCATGACCTTGACAATTATGTGAAGGTCACCAAACTTTACTGGGCCCCGCACCTTCCCTAGATAAAGCTTGGTTTCAAATATGAAGAAAATCCAGTGAACGGTTCTTGTGATAGGTTAAAATGCAGGTTAAACATTAAAGTCCCCTTGTGACCTTGAAATGAAGGTCAAGGTCACCAAACCTGACTTGGGCCTTTCTTATACTGTGATGAACCTAGGTACCAAATATGAAAAGGATCTAGTGAACGGTTCTTAAGATATTCCAATTCGGACATACGGACGGAGTGTAATACTATATCCCCTGCTTCGCGTTAAGCGCGCGGTGGGGGATAAATATCTCTATGTTCATCAAATAGCATCTTCGAAAATGCCAATCAAGCATATAAGTCTGAATCGTTTTCATGGAAACCGAGAAAAATAACATGACAAAAATCTGTAAATAGCAAAAGCACCACTTAGGGCAGTGTTCAAATACCTGCCTGCCCGACTGCCCGGGACGGGTTATTTTCAACATAGACTGCCTGATTCTCAAATTCACCTGCCCCACGGTCAAGTTAAAATTTAGACATTTATATGAAGATATTTTGTGGGCAGGTAAGTTTTGGTCAGGGATGGCAAGTTTTACATGTAGCCAGCCATGTGGTTTAGTTGAATTTTTTGTTAGTTTCATACCCTGCTTTGGGATCTGTCTCATATATCTGCCAAGTTCTGTTGAAAGATATTGAATGGTTTTTGAGTTGTGCTCCAGAAATGAAGCCCACCCCTCCCTTTTGAGACTAAGTCCAAATCGTTTGCATGGAACCCGAGAACAATAAACATGACAAAAATCTGTAAATAGTAAAAGGCACCACTTTGGGATCTGCCTCATATATCTGCCAAGTTTTGCTGACAGATACTGAAATGTTTTCGAGTTGTGCTCAGGAAACAAAGCCCACCCCTCCCTTTTGAGACTAAGTCCAAAACGTTTCCATGGAAACTGAGAAAAATGAAAATGACAACAATCTGTAAATAGCAAAAGGCACCACTGTAGGTTCTGTTTGATATATCTACCAATATTTGCTGAAAAATATTGAACGGTTTTTGAGTTATGCTCCGAAAACAAAATGATCACGGACGGAGAGACAGATGAGGCATTGACTATATCCCCTGCATTACATGCCGGCGGGCTAAAAACAGACTCAATATGCTTTGCCAAGAAATATAATTTTCAATGGATGTTACCTGGATGCTGTTCTTTCACCAAGACACGGTCGCCATAACGGAGGAGACCATGGGAAGCGAATGATGACCCTGTCGCCCGACATTGGGGTGAAAAGTTCAAGGATGAGGACACATTATGGAAGGAGTCATGCCAGAACTTCTTGCAAGGTCCACATGTACACAGGTAGGGATCCTGTTCCATCTGAAGCAGAAATAACATACCTGACAAGCATTTAACAAAGACATTGCTATCACATTTTCTTAAAGGATAATATTGTTTTCTTATACATGTATCACATAACTGGACACATTTTAAACATTCTTTTTGGTTTTAGGTGCTCTATGCCCTGCAATCACGTGTTAGTAATAGTGTTTTTTTCCTGATGTTCAAATGGACATGACGAAGAACTTGATTAAAATTAGAATGTTTGATAAACGAATCTTTCACAAGTTACCTTCAAGTTTAAGCATATGCATATCCTCTGCACATCCAAACTGGATTCAAATGTAATTTCCAACAATAATGCATTAGCAGCTGGTCATGTGATCCTTTTCGGAAACACTAGCATGTGTTATAGTTATATGGAATGCTCTTGGAAATGTGCATTCAACAGTCTTACTAACATAAACCCCAAGTACAAAAATAATCACTTTATAGCTTTACTTTTGATGTTTGGAAAATATCTACCTTTGGGGAGATTATTCACATTTACACTGCAAGGCCAACGTGAAAATATCCAGACATAGTATTTACAGAAGCAGTAGGCTCTGTGTTGTAATCCCATTACAGTCAGAAGAAAGGCCAGCCGAAAAGAAAGGGACCAAAGGCGTGATATATATGAGGGGGAAAAAAGAAGTCAGATGTGTGTCAAACTTTTGCCAAAGTTATAAAACCATTACAAATGCATGCTATAAACCAATATTTTGACCAGTTTAAAGAGATTCACCTGAGTACAAATAATCTTGTTGTAACCCCCTATTTTCATAAGGCCTTGTCCGCCCCAAATAATTATATTCCATAACTAGTACATAAAGTTCACCTTTTATGCAGAGTCAATTTCGCACAATACTAAAATTATCGGAACATTAAGATATTCACTGAAAACAATTAAGTCAAATTTCTTCTCTGTGAAACCAGCTTAGCCAGCTACAGATTTTTAAATATTCAGGTTGATTGTAAGAGAAGAATGAAATGTCACAACGATTCTAAGACGATTTCACCACGGTACCTCAGTATCCTGGCTTTTCATGATGACAGAAATTATTCACGTCTCTTATCTCTTGTCATTTGAGGTCATTCATAGCCTGAAGTCCTTCCATGTTGCAACGGCGTCTTGTTGTCAAGCAGGCACCTGTTGCGCTTCCGGTTCCCTGATAAACAGACCGCATAAAGCATGCCCAAAACATATACTTCGTTTATATTTTTGACAGATCATCTGAGAAAAGCTTGACATGTGTGATTGTCTTCTACACATTATAGTAGCAACTAACCCTTAGGTCAGGTGAATGAAAATGTAACAGTTATAACGTATGTTTTAAGTGATATATGTGACGTGACTTCCGGAAATGAATAAGAAGGAAGCAATCTTGATAAATTACTCCAAATCACATGTCGTTGAGTGGAGTCTATGGTGCCTCCAGAAGGTCTCTAAAAGTGTCCACAAGACCCAGGTATTCGCAATTAAAGTGAGTCCGTTAGTCAGCTATGTATTGAGTTATTACATGACCTAACCTTTACAATTGATCGATTGTCACAGGTGCAGATTGTGAAATCATGATTCACTACCTTTCGATATGTTGACAGCTATAAAGGTAACAAACAGCTTCCTAGTCTTTTACTTTCATGTCGGTAATATGGTCTGAATATTCTGGGGGCCATATTCTGATTGCCAACTTTTCTTCACTTCTCATTTATGGACGCACATCAGAGATCGGAATATTGGTGATCAGTGTTTTGTTGTTTACCATGCCAGTATGGTTTAGCAGGTATCAGTGGAATCTGATCGTGGTAAGCTGCATTTACAATGATTCATGTTTATAATCAAATGTTCTGGTCATACAGCACTTTTTCATTAGTGGAACCTGTAGCACAAACAACACTGCCACCATATGTTTCTATTTACAATGAAATCTCACTTTTGTGGATGCTTGCATTTATGACAAATATTTCTGATTAAGGAATTTCCGGATATCTGAATCACTTGTTTTAAACATATTTTATTCATTCAAGAAAAGGATTGGGCACAAGTTATCCAACTTAGAAAAGCCCTCTCCAGAATCACTTCACTACCAAATTTCTGTGGAGGATCAAAAATACCCAGCAACTCACAAGTGGATAATGCACAAAATTATTCATGTGTTTTGTTGATTTTTAACATGATATGCATGGGAGAGAGAGAGAGAGAGGAGGTGTTCACTTATTTTGTACATACATTTTAGGGGAGGTAATTCACATTGCACATGCTTCTGCATAAAAATCATCTTCCCCCCAACACACACACCTGCCATAAATTATGAACGTTCCCTTAAGGAATATATTCCAGTGTTATGTTATTTTAGGTCAGTATTGACTATATATATATGTATATATATATAAAATTAGGATTACAAGCATACCACTTTGGTAGAACTGGATGCTATTGTTGGATGTATTTTGACGTATAGCACAGCTTATCAGTCATCATTGAGATTTCACTTGACCCTGATATTTCTGTTGCTAAAAGCTTTTGTTTGAATACAAATGTTCTTCAGTAAATATGACTTTTAGTTTTAATGAGTATGTAATGTTTAACATGTTTATCCATTATAAAGCGACATTCGTTTCAAGGCTTAAATAGATGTAACCAGAGACCATATAATAGATGGAGCGATGGTTCTTCGTAGAATGTAACCACTTTCCATCCCAAATAGTCAACAGAACCATCGCTGCAACCCTGTCACCTCCTACCAAAAGACCCAAACCAGATTCAGCCCCCATCAAGATATCCATCCCCTACATTGGCAAACCGTCACATCAAATCAGCCGTCTCCTAAAACAACAAGCTGGCATAGATACCACCTTCTCCGCGTCCTCCAACCTTAACAACATTCTCCATGCCAATGGGAGAAAACCCGCCACCGTAAAGAACAACAACCCAAAATTTGTCATCTACAAAATAAACTGTGATTGTGGGCAGAGCTACATAGGCGAAACTTCCCGACCCATCAACACCTGAGTGAAAGAACATCAGACCTCTGTTACCAATTCCGACAGCAAATCAGCCATTTCCGACCACATCAAAGCTAGCCCCAATCATCAAATAGAGTGGTTTGACATCACCATTCTCTCTAACAAACAAACAGACTTCACTAAACGCAAGCTCACCGAAGCCATCCACATCAAACGCCAAAAGCGTACCATCAACCGAGACAAAGGATACTTCATTCCATCCGCTTATGATGCACTCATCCACCAAGCCCAATCCACTGTATAAACTCTGCTGTAACATCTCATTATTATTTGTACATCATTGGCTTCCACGCCTGTCCTTTGTCTACTCTCTGGCTTCATCAGCTTTCTGCCTAGCCAATTATGTTAATTATGTTGTTTTCTTTGTTACATTGTTACATCCAGTATATATACACTTCCCCCTTCTTCATGTTCCATTATGCTTGACAACGGTACAAGAATCTGTATCGAAACGTCGCACTCACGAATAAAAGAAGTTGTTATCCATAAAGTTTGTTCTATATTGTACTTCCCAACTTCTAAAATGCCACTCAAAGAAGTTATAGTATTGGTTGCTTGAAATAATGGTGGGTTTAAAATATTTGATCAGTCATAATTTCATCGAAATTAATGTGAACAGTATTGAACTTTTATAGTTTAGGACCAAGTCAGCAACCATAAATTACTAATCGGGCTCAGCTGTCAGGTTTATGCAATGTCTGGAGTAATGTTTACACTCAAGAAGCCTGGAGGACTGCTGGAACCAGCCCATGATTGGTGGTATGGCCTAGTGGATATTGGTTGAAGTGGTTGCTCTTGACATTGAAGGCTTGGTTTGATAGTGAGAAGTCTCACTCATCAGTCAGTGAGGCTTTGATGAGTGATGAATGGTGAATAATCTGAACAGGTGTCTAAATGCCTAACTGATCAGTTGGTGTCATGGCAACTAACTACTGTATATTGCCCACCTGGGTTGAATAAAACACTGTCACTACCAGCTTGGGCTGATTGTTTTAGTGGTAATGTGTGATGTGACCATTTGTAAAGAGAGGATATCAACGGGAAGTGTAGAAAGCTGCAGCACTGTTAATGTTATGTGATGAATGAATTATGAAACAAATTTTATGATATTTTATATAATGGTTAGATTTTGTTACTTTTTTCACAATTTTTTGTACATGTTGTAGTCATGTTTCAATGTTTATAAACTTTTGTTGTTTCAAACAATATGTTGTAAACAGTGAAATCTGAAACTGGACTTTTTATTTATAAACTCCAGAAATTCAGAATCAGAACCCTATATTAAGCATATATATTTGATAGTATCTTCTGTTTTACTAGAATAGTGAAATAATTTTCTTCTAATTGAAAGCATTAGTTGTTGCTATATAAGTTTATGTCACTGAATGTCAAAACAAATAATCACAATTGTCTCATGCAGATTGAAGACAAATGTGCAAGGGAGGCTACTCTGATTATTTCATAGAACCAGATTCTTGTCTATTCAAGTTGTTGGCTGTTGAATGCATTCAAATACTGAGATGATTGGCATGTCATCTGAAAGAAAACACCATGATATATATGCTAATGATATCTAACATTTATTCATGATACCTAGCACATAAATCATCTTTGATTCTAGCATTCACCATAGGAATAGTTTTGTGATTCTGGGAAAGAATGCTGTTTCAGCAAAGTTTTGATTACCACACGAATAGATGTCAGTAAATACGAGTGAAGATCCTAGAATTGTTCTTCAGCAACCCATGCTTGTCGTAAGAGGCGACTAACAGGATCGGCTGGGCTGGCTCGCTGACTTGGTTGACACATGGTATGGTATCCCAATTACATAGATCGATGCTCGTGGTGTTGATCGATGTATTGTCTGGTCCAGACTTGATTATTTACAGACCTCTGCCATATAGCTGGAATATGGCTTAGTGCAGCATTAAACAACAAACCAACCAACTGTGTCAGTACAGGTTTATGAACAATGATGCTGGATATTTATTTCTCTGTAACAGAAATATTTCAGCATTAACGTCTACCATTTAACCTGCCAACACTTTGTTGCCTGCATCAGTTGCTGGGAACCGACTCTAACCCCAGACCCCCCATGTCTGTATTGCTTTCTTTATATATCAAATATGAATTATACACATCAATAAAATATATCTGCTAAATATACTAACATCTCTTGAAGCAGTGGGATGTGTAATTGACTTTTTTAGAAAACAATTACTTATTGGCAATGGCAAAATATTTTTGGACTTAATACAAATTGCAATGATATGCCTTGTAAGTCATAATCATGATAATTTGATAGGCATTAAGTAGTTTAAAGTTTTAAGGTTAGTTAATGTATGAGAAACAAAGGAATTCATTTCCAGTCTCCTTTCCCCCCACCTGCGATTCCTGAGTAAACTTTTGTGAGTCTTGCATGATTTTAACTTAACAGCACCTATGACATGTTCTTGCAGGCTGTTTGTTTGACTAAAGAATATGTTGTGTGCTATAAATGACTCTTCTTCAATTTGGTTTGGGATTTCTTTGATTCATGAAATTCAGAAACAACGCTCAGCTATAGTTTGCAGTTCAAACAATTTGTTTGCACCTTGAATATACTTTTGGCCTTGGTCCATCTTTAATGAATAGTTTAATCATTTATTTCTATTAAAAATGCATTTTCAGCTTGTGCAGCTGCCAGCCTGAGAATAATGAATTTTATCAGATGTCTACTTATGAATGAATACAGCATAATTTGTTACGATAGTTTTGCTATTGATAGCTTTTTATTTTAGAAAGATTTCAAATCATAAAATTTCATAATCGTTTCATTCAAACATTCAAAATTTCAACCATTTGATTCTTAAGAACAACAATGCTTACAAAAGCTGAAAGTTTGTGTTCATCATAATTAATGAAAGACATTCAACTTGGTACCATACTCATGTGCAACAAAGTTGTGAAAACCTTTCTCAGAAGCTGATGAATAAAATTTGCTGAAACCAGTTTTATTAATTTCAAATCTTTTACTCTGCTACAATAATTCTCTTTATAAAGGAAGCATTGGTACATCAGCCAAACACATATGATCTTTCTAAAACAAGACAGCTTTGTTCCTTTACAACCTGGTAGGGGAAATTTTGCAAACAACACCCAATAGTGAACACAACTGTTCCTTTGATGGTACTCCTCCCTTTTGACACTCATTGGCTGATTAGAAAGTTCACTTTACCTTGATCTCACACTAACGTCAGATGTCAGCAGATCTTCACTCTTGAATATTATATGACTCTATACATGACTCTTCTTCAATTATGTTTGGGATTTTTTGGTTTAAAATCATATCAAATATCAATCAGATCTCTGTGTCATGTGGCATTCTGTTTTGACCACATCTTTTACATCCAGTCCAACTGTTTATGAGACATTTTCTTTTAATTTTCATGAAATTCAGAAATAACGCTTATCTATA